CTTCATTTTTCCGAAGCTGGTAATCTTTTTGACAATGTATTGGGAGTCACCCCTGCTCATGCAAATTCCTACACCCCTGTCCAAACATTAAACGAATTTAGTTTCCAGCCAATCCACGAAAGTAATGTTCTGAAACAACTGTCTTACCTCAAAGGGTCCTCCTCTACTGGAGCAGATAGTATTCCCATCTTTGCTCTACTGTTGGTCACCTAATATACAAACCTATAGCCCATATTTTCAACCTGTCCATCAAAGAAGCATCAGTTCCTCTAGAATGGAAACATTCCTATGTCCGTCCACTTCAGAAAGGGGGCCCTAAAGCTGATCCAAATAACTACCGACCTATCTCAATTTTGACTTGTCCAAAGCTTTTGATACAGTAAACCACAACACCCTGCTTAGTAAACTGTTGCCTCGTGTTTCCGAAAACGCAGTAAAATGGTTACAAAATTACCTCTTTTCTCGCACCCAAACTGTATTCACAGATTATGAGACCTCCTTTGCCAGTAACAAGATATAGGAATAGGTTTTACCCTTTTAACTGGCACAAAAACTGACACCTTTATTCAAGGCATCATGTTTGCAAACAGATGGTTGGAGGTCAAACAGTGTTAAGATAACAAAAGGGGTTCCACAGGGTTCCATCCTCGGCCCCCTTTTGTTTGCTCTTTATATGTCAATGACTTGGGCACTGACCTGGATCATTCCAGGGTAAATCTTTTTGCAGATGACACGATACTGATTTACTGCTGGCCGCTCTCCGGATGACGTGATTGCTAAGCTCCAGGGTGATTTCAATAAACTACAACATCAGCTAGTTTCTCTTAAACTAGTCCTGAATACCTCCAAAACCAAGGTGCTATGCTTCTCACCAGGACTAAAGCAGGATGTTATTTTTCCCCAATTACATTCCTTAAATAATTATCAAATAGAGCAAGTCAAGATCTGTAAGTATCTTGGGGTCATCCTGGATTCAGAACTGAATTTTGAAGATCACATTGATTATATTGGTAAAAAGACAAAAAATTAAAATTGGTTTTCTGTATCGACACAAGCACTGCTTCCCCCCTATGTTCCGTTTGGAATTGATCAAAGCTACCATACTGCCCCTACTTGATTACTGTGACATCGTGTATAAATCAGCCCCAAGTACTGTACTGAAGAAGCTTGATTCCATCTATCACTCGGCCTTAAGATTTACATTGAACTGCCCATATAGGACTCACCACTGTGATATCTACATTGGGTCAAATGTTCGACGGCTTGTGCACCAGATCTTATTTATTCACGATGTACTTACAAAAAAATCCGCAGACTACCTGCTGGATCTCCTCTCTGTTTCAAAGAACAAATTTGACCTCAGGTCTTCGCTCATTTACCAGCTTCACATTCCCTATTGCCATACAAAAACTGGAGGAAGGGCCTTTGCTATTGATGCCCCCAGGGTCTGGAACGCTATTGCCAATAAACTGCAACTTGAATCGCTACCAAAGAGATCTTCCCTCAAAACTGCTCTAGAGGAGTTGTACACCCCTAGCTGCAACTATTCATTGGCGTAAAATAAAATAAAATGTTTCTCTCCGGATGACACTGCAAAGTATTATCTGTATTTTGATTTAGCGTGCTGATCTTAAAGGTGCATTGAAAAATTTGATACTCCGACTGATGCTTCTGTTGTTGTGGAGTAACTCATGCAGCCAGCTATGGCTCTAGGGTTTGGTGTTACATGTTATTTATGTAGTTTATTGTTAAAAATTCGGTCACAGTCCCTATGATCACTATTACAATGCAATTATGGCTTTATTTTTTATTTTTTGGCGATTTCGAAAAGTTTTTTGGTTTGGACATGTTTATTTTGTTGTAGTACGGAGTTAGACTGATGGCCTTAATCTAAGTTTTCTTGTGGTTGTTGTTGTTGTTTGACTTGCATTCCACTGGGATTTTTGCACACAGCTTTGGTGTACGGTGCGTTTTCAGGAATATTTTGCTGTTGTTTTCATGGATTTTCTGTTTGCACAGTCACATAGTCACTTAAAGATGTTTTCTTGTTCATGTTTTTTGTTTGTTGTGGTTGCACCCGATTCAAGAGCCGATTGGCTCACAGGGCTATACCAAATGAATAAATAAAAATAAATAACTAAACACCTCACTACATCTGTGTATCGTGTCTTTGTGTCCCACACCTCACTACATCTGTGTATCTTGTCTGTGTCTCCCACACCTCACTACATCTGTGTCTCCCACACCTCACTACATCTGTGTATCTTGTCCGTGTCTCCCACACCTCACTACATCTGTGTATCTTGTCTGTGTCTCCCACACCTCACTACATCTGTGTATCGTGTCTGTGTGGCCCACACCACACTACATCTGTGTATCTTGTCCGTATGTCCCACACCTCACTACATCTGTGTCTCCCACACCTCACTACATCTGTGTATCTTGTCCGTATGTCCCACACCTCACTACATCTGTGTCTCCCACACCTCACTACATCTGTGTATCATGTCCGTGTCTCCCACATCACACTACATCTGTGTATCTTGTCTGTGTCTCCCACACCTCACTACATCTGTGTATCTTGTCTGTCTCCCACATCACACTACATCTGTGTATCTTGTCCGTGTGTCCCACACCTCACTACATCTGTGTGTCCCACACCTCACTACATCTGTGTATCTTGTCCGTGTCTCCCACATCAGACTACATCTGTGTATCATGTCCGTGTCTCCCACATCACACTACATCTGTGTATCGTGTCTGTGTGTCCCACACCTCACTACATCTGTGTATCTTGTCCGTGTCTCCCACATCACACTACATCTATGTATCGTGTCTCTGTGTCTCCCACATCACACTACATCTGTGTATCGTGTCTGTGTGTCCCACACCTCACTGCATCCCTTGTGCACATACTGTCGTCCATTCAGTCGTCTCTCGTCGCAGGGCGCTGTAAAAGTTGAAAAGGTCCCCCAACAAATGATTTTCTGTTTCGGGGCCCCAAAGAAGACATTGGGACTGACCCGACAACCACAGTAGCTAGGAGATGTTAACTACCTCGCCTGGTCTCCAGAAGGTCATGGGTTCGTTCCCAACCCTGACGACTGCTCTATATTTGGAGTTTGCGTCTTTATCTCTCTCTCCGTGGTCACGTGGATTTTTTAGAATCAACATCACGCGTTCAGAGTGTTTGGCTGCTGTTATAAATTCCGACGTAATGAAGATAAGCCACTTCGTTTGAGTTATGATTTGTGATAGCCAGGTCGCTTATGAAAAAAACAACTTTATAGCTCCGTTGACTTTACCTGGTAAAATTTACAAAAAAAATAGATTTTAGTGTTTTAGTTTTTAACCACGATGTCTCCCCTACACCATCCACGACAACCACGTGGCTCACGCAGACAAACACGTGGCTCACGCAGACAACCACGTGGCTCACGCAGACAATCACGTGGCTCACGCAGACAATCACACGGGCACGGCTCTGTGGCCGTGGGAACAAAAATAAACACAATGCAGGCACGACTCGTAGACGTCGTCGGACAAAAAAACCCACGGGACATGGACATTTCCCAACCACGATCGGGCACAAACCACGGACAAGCAAGTCTGTCCACGCCACGTGTGGGTGGGAGAGCGGACGACGACACATCGAGTGTGGATCGGTTCGGGACAAGAACACGCCAAGAGCGAGCACGCAAAAGGCACGCGGAAGAAGGCGCGCGCTCGCTTGTTGGAGTTATGCCGAAGAGACGGCGAGGGGGGCGGACATAACAAGGGGGTTATCAAGTTCAGGGGTTCTGCGTCTTCTCGGCCTGGGGGCACGCACGTCATGGGGGGGCACGCACGTCATGGGGGGCACACACGTCATGGGGGGGCACGCACGCCATGGGGGGGGGCACGCACGCCATGGGGGGCACACACGTCATGGGGGGGGGCACGCACGTCATGGGGGGGCACGCACGTCATGGGGGGGGCACGCACGCCATGGGGGGGGCACGCACGTCATGGGGGGCACGCACGTCATGGGGGGGGCACGCACGCCATGGGGAGGGGCACGCACGTTATGGGGGGCACACACGTCATGGGGGGCACGCACGTCATGGGGGGGCACGCACGTCATGGGGGGGCACGCACGTCATGGGGGGGTACGCACGCCATGGGGGGGGCACGCACGCCATGGGGGGGGGCACGCACGCCATGGGGGGGCGAGATGCCCTTTCTGGGGGGGGGGGAAATGCGAGACATGGCCAGAATTTTTGAGAAGGTAAATAATCGAAAACACAAGTTAAGCACGGGCACGTCAGCTACAACTTTTATAATCGAGGTGTTTTGGGTTAGATCGCGTAAATGTGTCGTTAAACCCTCCATCACCCGACAGCCAAGTTGTAAGGGTTGTCGCGTAAACAGAACATGCCAATTCATCACTAGCACAGCAACGTCACTATTATGGATGATATTAGTCGCGAAAGCTTTACGTGTTAAACTGACAACTTTGTCCCATCAAACCCTGTGTATGTGTTTAACATTATACACGTTGTGTGCGAATGAAACCCGTAGGGGGTTGCAAGGCCGCAGTAAGAAGGGTTTAGGGCCCACGCCGATCGACAGCGACAAGACCCCGGGCATGGAGAGAGACCGACTTGCTGAGAAAAGTGCTTGGACGAAAGTGGCCTTGGGCTCGGCGCGTCGGAACAAGGGACTGCTACGATGGGCGGCGGACGGGAAAACTTCGCCCGAGAAGGCAGCCCCGGAGAAGCACCGCGAACGATCGAGGGATGGAGCCGTGGAACGAGAAAGTCCGAGTGTCAGACGCTTCGCGGATCGTCCCATCGCATCGACCGCCAGAGATTGCGGAACGGCGCCCGGTGGGGTTGGCTCTCCAACCAGCAGTGGATTGATCGTGGCCGATGACGACGACGAGAGCGAGAGACGGCTTTGAGAGGCCTCCATCCAGCAGTGGATAAGACCGTGACCCGGCGCGGTGGGGAACAACTCACCGACAAAGGCGATCACCGCCAAGAGGGCAGGCGAAGTGGCGCGCAGACGCGAAGGCATCATCACGCATTCTTTCTTGCGAGACAAAAGATCTCCCTCTCTATAGCAGCAGCAGCAGCAACGGCGGCTGATAAATCTCGTGTCGTCTCTTCCCCCCCACCACCACCACCTCTCTCTCTTTCTCTCTCGAGCTCTCGTCCCACGCAGGGGATAGCGGCACAAATCACGACAGATTAAAAACCCCTAACCTAAGTAGGGCGGGGGGGGGGTAAGCGCAGGGTTTGAGAACTTATCGGCTGAGATGTTTTTGGATCAGCCCAAACTCTGTGTGGCGTTCCGTTCCCCTCCCCGCCACGGAGTTACAACAACGTCAGCTGCTCGCTTCGCGCTCCCTCTCACGGCACGCACGTGGCAGGGAGACTCTGTGGCTCTGCTGTGCTGCGTGCTGCCTTCTCTCCACAACCACCTCCCTCCCTCCCCTGCACCCTCCTCCTCTGCCACCTCCCTCTCCTGCCCCCGCCCCCCCTCCTACTCTGCCCCCCCTCCTCCTCTGCCCCTCCTCCTCCTCCTCTGCCCCCCCCCTCCTCTGCCCCCCTCCTCCTCTGCCCCCCCTCCTCCTCTGCCCCCCCTCCTCCTCTTCCACTCCCTCCTCCTCTTCCACTCCCTCCTCCTCTTCCACTCCCTCCTCCTCTTCCACTCCCTCTCCTGCCCCCGCCCCCCCTCCTCCTCTGCCCCTCCCTCCTCTGCCACCTCCCTCTCCTGCCCCCCCCCTCCATCCTCTGCCCCCCCTCCTCCTCTGCCCCCCCCTTCCTCCTCTGCCCCCCCTCCTCCCTCCCTACCCCCCTACTCGCGTCACATTTGTTGGAAGTAGAAAAGAAAACCCAATCGCGCACACAAAGACCACGCTTCCCCCCCCACCCCACCACCACCAAAGACAAAGGTGTCCCGGATAGGCTTTTAACATACACATTTTACACAGCGCACCAAGCAACTCGTTTGAGGCTGAGTGAGGCCCGAGGACCGGTCCAGAGAGTGGGAATCGAACTCGGGAGGCTGGGTTCGTAGCGGCGGCCCGCTAACCGCTGAACCACCGCTCGCCCACCATCACCACCCCGATCATCATCATTCCCCCACCCCAGGCCGCATCTTCCCTCCCACGCTATGCGCCACCTCGTGGGCTGGCTCTCGTAAGAGCATCAATTGGGAGGAAACCTTGGCTTTCACGACCAATATTGTGGTTCGGAATTGATTTCCAATGGGTTACAATGTTCCATAGATCGCGTTGGTAAACTGCCATTCTCTAGCTACGTAACCCTCCGTCACCCCGACAGAGCCAATTAAATTAAATGAAGCTGTCGCCGACGGTGGAAGGTTCTCGTGACACATGTACGCTGACCACTCAATCTTCGGCTGCCCATCGCGAACGATGGTGCCTTGCTGAGAACAGCGAGTGGATTGGCAGCAGCTACAGCAGCTACAGCCAGCGTTTTCCCCTGCGCGCCGGTGGGATGAGAGGGCACCAGACCCCTGAGCAGAAGCATCGTCCGCAGTGTGGTCAGATAGCCGCTCCTCGTCTGCTGGATTCGTGTTGTCCCGCTGCTGCTCTTGCTTTTGTTATCCTTTTCTTTTCAAGGGGCCGTCCATAAATGACGTCACATACCTTGGGGGGGGGGGGGGGGTCAGACATTTGTGACGATGTGTGACGATGTGGGGGGAGGGGGGTTTGAGAAATGTGACGTCACATCAAAATGCGCAACTTTAAATAAATATAAACAATATAATTGTTGTGACAACACAAATTTTGATTAATTTTAATTAACTATATTATTTAAATTGACTAAGGTCACCTTTTATTTATTCCATGAATGAGCATTTTGCTTCTCCATGGGAGAATAGAGAAGCATACATTTTGTATTTTTTAATGATTGCTATTAAACATTTTTATTTTAATGATTCTTCCAGGGCTTTTCATTCTGTGGAATATGTGATTGTTATAATTGTACTCTCCATTTTGCTTCGTTCTACTACAAAGTTTCAAGTATTTTTTTATATAGTTATAATTACCTTTAATATTTTATAATTATAAGATAATTTCAATATAATATTCTGAACATCTGCAGTTTCATGCTAAATTTCAGCTTTCCAACGCCTCCTTTTTAATAAATGTTTTCTTTATAACATCAGAGTGCAGCGCCACATTAAATACGCACTGCAATGACAATAGTTTAAAGTGATTTGAAGCATGCTTTATTTTCAAAATGGAAATATGGTTTTTGGGGGGGGGGGGCAGAGCTTTGTGACGTCATATTTGAGGGGAGTCTGACGTTTTTGTGACGCCGTGTGAGGAGGGGGGGAGGGGGAGTCAACAATCGGCCAAAATCGCGTGACGTCATTTATGGACGGCTACCAACCCTCTTCACCGAGTCGGTGGCAGCGAGCGCTTGGGCTCTGACATTTCCTCCCACGTGTCCACATTGATATTGTTGGCTGTCTTGAGGTGTCTTTGTAGCGACGTTTGTTTTGGCCACCGGGAAGACGCATGCTTCAGCCTCTCTGAGTCCACCGTCAAGAAGGGTTTCTGGAAGCCGACGTTCTGGCATTCCGAATGTTCGTGCCCTGACCATTTCAACCGAGAGGGGGTAACTGTTTCCCTTCTACACTGGGAAGTCCCAGCTCTAGCCAGCACCTCGGTTGCTCTGTAATTAAGTCTTGGCCAGTTCGTCCTCGTGATTTGTTCCAAATGTGCTCAGCTGTGGACGCGTCAGTTTCTTCACGTGCCGCCTGTTTGGTGCCACGTGTTTCCACAGAGTAAAGTGGTGGACGAATGACCAGTGGCTCTGTTAGGCCTTTACTTTGGTGGACATTTTGATACCAGGCTGGGGACCGGCCGCGCCTATCGAGGCTACCGAATGCCTGAGATGCAGCTTGAAGGCCCTGCGTGATCTCCGCGTCTGCAGAGTCGTCGTTACGAGCTCCACCAATGACGAAAACATTTCTGGGTGAACGTCGATTACATTTTCGTCTGTTTTTTGCTGGTTATGATAACATCTCAGTCTTATATTCTTTGGGTCTTTCTGTAAAGTCACGTAGGTATAGGTTCAAAGAAAATAACAAAAATAACCAAAACTACGATGTTTCGATCACAAAACAAGTGATCGAAACGTCGTAGTTTTTTGTTATTTTTGTTATTTTTTTAACCTATCTACGTGACTTTACCGAAAGACCCAAAGAAAATTAATTCCTGCAGTCACGAAACCTTTAAGTCAAGATCTCAGTCTTACTCGTGTTGATTCTTGGCCCCAAATTGGTTCGCAGCAGCAGCAACAGCACTTGGGTTTCGCGATTTCTTGAATGTCACTCCGCCTGCGTCATCGGCCAAAAAAAGCACAAGTTCTCGAACACACTGTTCTCTCACTTTGGTGTGAGCACGTAGCCTGACCAGATTAAACAGCGTGCCATCGCTCTGCGGTTCGTGTCTATAGACGCCGGTGTGAAGATTGACTCTGAGCACTGCTGCGAGGAAGAGAGTGAGGTGGGTGGGGGGCACCACACAAATCCCTCTTTCACTCCATGACCAAATATTAAAAAGGGGTCTGCCCAAATTTCCCGCGACCGATACCCTGCCAGTCGTGTTCTCATGAAACTGTCTGCTGACGTTTTTACAAAGTGCTCTGGACATCCTAGAGGCTCTTAGAACTTTCCAGAGTGTGTGTGTGTTTGTTTTTCAGTCCACCCTGTCGAAGGCCTTCGAGAAATCGACAACAAAACCCCACAAACAAATCTTGGTGCTGCCCGGCCGCTTTTTCGTGTATTTGTCTAAAGGGTGAAAAAAATCACGTCGTTTGTTGATCTTCCTGCACGAAAACCACACTGACTCTCGGGTAGGACTCGCTCCGCTATGATTTTCAGCCTACTCAGGAGTATCTTGGCAAGGATCTGCAAAAGCCACACCACCATCTCTTCTTTCCTCGCGTGTCTTCCCACTCCAGAAAACGGTGTGCGTCTTCCTCTCTAGTTTTGGTCTCTCGGAGGGCTGCGATATCGATATCGATATGACGATGACGAGCTCCTTTCGCCGGACACACATATCAGTCATTTCAGGTCGATCAGAAGCAACCCTGTCAAGGTAAGTGTCCGGACACCCCAAGGAGTAATTCCCATCTTTACGTTACCCGTCCGTTTTTCTTACCGCGCCCCGCTGGCCAGAGTTGTGCTGAATCAATGCCCCAACACATCGTTGTGCAAAAATAAGTTCGAGACGGATACAAGAAGGAGGCATTGCCTCTCGTGTACGAGGTTTGTGGTTGGAGTGGTGGCGCATCAGTTAGCGCACTGCTCTACAAGCAGGGCAGGTTTGAGTTTGATTATTGGCCCAGGCTTCTGGAGGACATCACTGCTCGTGCTGACAACCCATTGGGGGCCGGAGGCAGATTTTATTTTCTGGGCCACCTTTTCAAATGATTTTTTTAAATCCCAGTGAGGTGACAGAAGACACACTCTGCAGACTGGAGATAGAGGTTAGAAACAATGTAGACAAAAACAGAGATGGAGTGCTGTGAAAAAAGAGAGATTGATGTACTCGCTTGCTCTTCATGTAAATGATCTAGTTTTGTTTATAGTGATTTCAAAATGAACCAGTATTTCATACAGCGATATTTTTTCATGAACCAGGGGCCCCTTGAGCTATTTGGAGGCACTACGCCTTTCCCTTTGTTTCGCTTATACCTCGTGTGCAGAGTTTAGTGAGAGACGCGTAAAGTCATTGAAATAAAAACAAATCTATATTATCCCCTCCCCCCATGTATTGGGGTATCTATAAATGGATCACCCTGTTCGTACATTAAACAGCGCGCGTGCCATCGTGATGAATCATTAACAGCTCTCCGTTGGCATGGCGGCAGAGTCATCGCTATCACCTCCGTGCGCTAATCTGTTTGTCGATTGTTTCTGGCGGGAGGGGGGGGAGCGTCTTTCGCGGGTTGCAATTCGCGTTGTTCCCCCACCCACCACTCACCACCCGCGCCCACTCCAAATCGAAAGGAGAATCGCGCGAACAAACCCGCGTGCGTTGCGTTCGAGTGAGCGCAAATTGGGACAAATGCGGGCAGATCAAAGTGTGGATTACGGCAGGTGAGACCAATCACCCAGACTCTACATAAGGACCCGCCGATGACAAATCGGGCACTCATCTCCGCCCTCCCTCCACGCCGTGTGGAGGTTCGGACGGCCATGGGATTCCGCGAGACATTCGAGAAGTCGGTCAGGCGCCTGGCGCCGCTCTCCGTGGTTCTGGAACTTCTCGTGCTCGGTCTGCTGGTGGCTCCGAGTTCTCCCGAGGTGTCGGCGGTTCGCAACGTTTGCCCAAGCACCGTGGGAGCCGACGCAGGCGTTCTTGGGGAGACGTTGCGATGGACGGTGCTGCAGGTACCCGCGCATCTTCTTCCTCGTCCTGGTGGTGATGCTGATGCTGTTGGAGAGCCTGCGAATTTGCAGGCAAGTTCGTGATGTTGGTGGTGATTATGATGATGATTACTTCGTCGTCCTGATAAATCGAATTGATGATTATATGATGACGCCTGTCTTGCTGGTGCTGCTGGTGATGAATAGTCAATGAAGGCTTTTGTGATCAATATTATCCTTAATAGGTTTTTACCATTTAGGATGTCTATGAACAATATCCCTAACTATATTTAGCATTAAGATTGTTTGTACGATATTACAATTTTTGCTTTATTTTTTCAACGTTCCGGTTTGCTTTAGAGGGGAGAGGGGAACTATGAAATGTACGCACGTGACAATCGAATTAATTGGCTGTCTGGCGGTGGAGAGTTTTCGGTGCTAATTTATGTTACAGCTGTTCGTAGTGGTGATTTGAGTGGGGAGAGGTGGTGCAGTGATTGGCACACGGCGACCCGAGGTTGGGACTAATATATCCGAATCGGTGCTACGTCTGCTCGAACCTTAAATGAGTAACTTGTGCGGGTTGTGAAAACGGCACTTTGGTGAACACACCGGCAACCGAGCGGGTGAGCGCGGTGCTGACCCCACACGACCCCAGAGCTCGCGTGTGCCGGCTTGAGACGCTCGATTAAATCCCTTTGCCCCCCCCCCCCCCCGTCTGTTTTAAAGGCTACACGGGGGGGGGGGGGTAGAATCTTTGGCTTTGTAGAATTGTAAAATGTAGCGGTAATGTAGTACTAATTGGTGATTCTACCATCCTTCAAGTCTCGACTTGCGCTTTCGGTGGCGATTTTTTTTTGTTAACTTAACTTGCATTGGCGAAATGCAGTGACGGTGGTTGTGGTGGTGCCGGCATTCTGATTCCACAATATTCACAGGAGGTGGGTGTGTGATGGCCGAGCTGCTAGGTGTGGTGTGCGAATGGCGAGAGATGTTGACTACCTCACCTGGTATACAGAAGGACGTGGTTTCAATACCAATTCTGACGCGTGCTATATATTTTGAATTGCATGTTATCTCTCCTCTTTAGTGGCGTGGATTTTTCTCCGGGTCCTCCGGTTTTTCCTTCCCTTTACAAACCTGCGTTTTGGAGTATTTGTGGCTGCTTGTAAATTTACACATGACAAGCCACGTAGTTGAGTTAGCATTTGTGGCCAGGCCAATTCTGAACAAGAGCTACATATCTCGGTGGGCCTTGTTCAAATTGAAAACGGGGGAGGGGGGGGGCGGTGTTTGTCTGGACAGCCGTAGTGACTGCTGCGCCCCTTGACCCCCAGCCGCTCGGCCTTGCTAACCCCGCGGCTCTCCACTGGCGACCCCAGGTCCTCGTCGAGGCCACCGTGGCCGTTGCGGGCCCCGGCACCTGCGAGTGGACCGCCTCGTGGCAGTGCTCGCCGGGCTGCGAGCGGCCCCTCGCGGTGGTCCGGGGGCGGACCGTGATCGCGTCCGGGCCGAGATGTTGGACCTTGGCAGTGGCTTCCTTCACGGTGCCGGTGTGGTCCTGCGTGGGGTGCACGCTGCGGTAATGCCATTCGCTGCCCCCCCCCCCCGCCACCTCTCTCTGGAAAAGGTGGCAAGATAACTAGTTTGTAATTGCCAGCGAAACGTCACGATACTCGAATTGTAAATGTTGTGGGTTTACTGTCCAATACACCGGTGTGCTGAACTAGTTAATAACTAGTTAATAATTGGCACGTTTTGTTTACGTGACGAACCTTTAATTTTTGTAACCCGATTCAAGAGCTTCTTGGCTCCACAGGGCAATTCTAAGATCAACTGTGCCCGCAGGCACGAGTGTCTCTGCAGCCCGGACGGGGTGGCAGGCGCACCAGCAATGAAGGGCCAAGGTCGGCCCGTTGCCATGGTGGCGCACCTCGACGTCCGTCGCCGTAGCGATTCCGGGAGGCCCAACACCCCACCGTGGGCAGCCTTCCCGCTGGTCCTCAGGTGGGTTGGTGCATCTCTTGCTGGTGATGTTGAGGCCATCTGGGGTGGAGATTTGTGGCAGGTGCAAGCTTTGAGCGAGCCACCAACATCCATCCCATCTCGGTGCTGGCTTACCAGTGTGGACCCCTTATCACATCTCTGGGTTGCTTTTTAAAATTTTGCCATGCTCTTTTACATTTTCACGATTATGGCGATGTCAGTTTCCTCTAGTTTCCAATATGTATTGCGTATGATTGTATTGTCTTGCCTTTACTGGACTTGCAGTGCAAGTACAGATTAGTTGCGTTTCTCGACCACCTCGCTATAAGCCTGCCAAAATAATCCTAATCGTTGCAACTGTTTTGGCCTAGAACTCTTGTACCACGTACATCAATTAAATTCACAACCAAAATTATCAGCTTCTACAGCTGCTATTCTGTCAATTACACCAGAGTTTTGCAAGGCACTTGATAATTGCTAATCATTATTGATGTCACTCTTTTAATCTTGCCATATTTGTTTTTTGATTAAGACAAAAATAAAATGTTACGTACAAGCCACGACATGAGCTTTTTCAAAATACACTAAGATTATGTACATGGCATCGTACGAGATATCAGCATCGCCATATCCTAGCAACTAAATATTTCAAGAGACGTCTGATTTCGTACGGCCTAATGAAGGGCGAGCGACAGACCTATTTGGAGACTCCTTTGCAAGCGTTTCATACCCTTTGCATTGCCCCGCGTTTGTGGCTTGTCGATGAGATCGCCCACCTTTAGTTTTGTACACGTCTTTTTGGGCAGTGTGAAGTTGACTGCTTTCTGTGGTTTGTTTATTCATAGCCACGGCCTCGTACAAGTGTCAGCTGTTGTGTGGCATGCTGTATAAAGTGTTTCTAGTTGCACGTGTGATTTACGGCTACACCTTTATGAATCCAGCGCCCGCCGGGTTCGATTCCCGCTCACAGCCAACAGCCGTGACGATTATCTGACCCGGTCCTGGGCCTCCCCGAGGTCGACTCTGCCTCAAATGAGTACCTGGTGCTGTGTGTAAATATCGCCAATTAGCGATACAAAGCACGGCCGGGTATGCTGTCCCCTGGCCTTTTAGGTGCTCGAACAGCACTTGCCCCAACAGTCTAAAGGCTATACGTGGGATCTTTGTCTTTAAAACGGGGGGGCTTTTTCAAAGGGGGACGTCTGTGCTTCGTTTTTCTTTGTCTGGCGACCAGAACTCCTGTGCTAAAGAGGCCCATGGCTCCTTTCCAACTTCGTAATGAAAAATCTGACGTTTTGCTTGTTGGGAGATTATTTTTCAAGTTCTCTCGTTGGTGGTGGTGAGCGGCCCACACTTGAAACTGTTGCGCAATACAATAATAATAATATTAATTATGTAATGTTGCTGCCTTCGAGTTGGCAACTGATCAAAACGTTATTGGGGTGGGGAGATTGTTCTGCAACCGGTCACACGACTAGTATAATAGCGTTTTATGTTTTGACAAAATGGGGTTTGAGCGCTTTATGCACTCTTTTGCTATACTGTTTTTAAAATGTGTCCCATAACATTAGCACTTTATTGTGTTCTTTGTCGCGATCAAAAATTTGAAATTAAGTCGCGCATGATTTCTAAAGCAAATTAATATGAAAAATACCGGTTCCATCTTGACATTTTATCCCGCCAAGCTAAATCTAGATTGGACTTTGCCTCTTCCGGCGATTTTATTCCATTATAAATGAATCGTTACCCATGACCAAATTTCCTGCAATGCACCCGGTTTTCATATCTCGGAAGCCAAGCAGGAATGAGCTTGGCTAGCTTGTGCATGGATGTCCAACGTGGACGAAGAGTTTATGGGTTGCAGGGCTACTTGGTGGGCAAGCGGATGAGCGGTGCGGGAAAAATCTGTACTTGACGTCCACGCTGCTTCGTCATCGCCAACGTGCACTGACCAGCATGGTGAAGTAGAGCCGAATAAATTCCTTTGACACTGCGTTGGGGGGGGGAGGGCCTCGTCCACCAAGTGAATTGACTGACACAAGGGTTGACACTTGTAGCGTTGTCATCTATGAGATCGTTTTCAAGTTGCTGCTTTTTTCGTGCAACCCAGGGAGAGCATCTCGACAGCAAGGCATATAAGCAATGCAAAACAAATGCAAATGTTAAGTACAACGATCAAGCAAATAAAAATTGGCACAAGCGGTTCACATGGGGAAAATTAACCGTATCGCAGCCTGCCAGTGGCGATAGATTTTAATTGGTGGGTTGGGGGGGGCGACAATTTGGATGTAATCCCAATTGTGTACTTTGCGGGTAATTTTTCTCAAGTTTAAATAAATGTGGGCCCTGAATGGTGGCTCACAATGGCCTGCCCCTTGCTAGTGGCATCGGTGGGGGGGGAGGGGGGAGAGCTTTTAAGGTCTACCATGGCAGATGGCAGGTAGTGGTGATAATACACTTGCAGGAATAATCAGAGGGGGTGGCCATTGGATTTGACCCGCAAACCGTTAGAATTAAAGGCGAACGCGCTGCTGCTGGGTAATTTTTACACCTTTTTGTGTTTTTTGGCAGTGGAGTGCTAAAAACGTTTTGGGGAGGGGGGGGGCAAATTCTGCTAAATCAAGTGAAACGGAGTTTGGCTCGTACTCCCAACTACTAAATTGATGTCGGATCGGGGGTTCTTAACCATTACTGCAGCCTTGCACCCCTTTGAGTCTCAAAGGGCATCTTGCACCCCGAGTTGGGAACTACTCTTAGATAGATTAAAAATGTAATGCCTCCCCAAGAATAATTAATGGTTTGTAATATAACTTGATGTGCCTGTTTTTTTTTCAGCTGTCGATCTCCTGGGTAACCTGTTGGGGGTGTGGGAAGAAGTGGAGGGGGGGGGGTGGGGCAACTGCTCCCTTTGTCCCCAACCTCCAAATGCCCTCGGGTTGTCGGCACCTTCCCACGACCAGGCTTTGTCTTGTCTCCGTGCCGGTGTCCGTCCTGCGCACCAGGATAAGCAGCCGGTGCCTTCGGCCGCTGAGGATCTCCACGTGGGACAAGGACGGGGATCTCGTCCGGTGCCGCTATGCCACGCAAGAGGAGTGTGACGCGTGCGACGCTGCCGTGCCCGGCATGACGCTGCACGAGGCGAGGGCTCAACCCAAATCTATAAACCATTAAACTAGATTTGTTGTTTTTTATCAGGTGTAGCCCACTGAGCTGTGTAGCGCTTTTTCCATAAGTGACATGGCTGTCGTTAAATTATTGGTGCAACGAAGTGGTTTATCACGTGGAAATTTGATAGCAGCCAAATAATCCTGAATGTGGGGAGAAACCAGAGGACCTGGAGGGGGGGGGGGGGGGAAGGAAAAAAATCCATGGAGGCAGAACATGCAGACTCCCAGATATATATACAGCAGGTGTCGGTCTGGATCGAACCCACGACCTCCTGCTTGGCAGGCGAGGCAGTTAACATCTCGCCACCGCGGCGCCCTAAAATTGTTAGTTTGGCTGCTACGGTCCCGGTTTTGGGAATGGATGTCCTGTCGCAGTATGAGCTTTCACGCAGTACATGGCCAACCTTGCTCAATGGAGGTGCGGTGGGTGAAGGACAACAAACTGAACTTTATTAATTTCTTTAACGTTTTCAATCTAGATTTAAAAGTGCATAGCGCTCGGTGGCTTCCTACTATCAGGAGGAAGAGCATTCCAGCCACTAACACGTGCTAGTAGACTTTCGCAGCCACTAACACGTGCTAGTAGACTTTCGCAACCAATATTTCTAAAAGGTTTTGTGTTAGATCGCATAAATATAAATGTTGTTAAAACCGCCATCACCCAACAGCTAATTAGTAAGGTGTATCATGTAAACAAAACGTGCCAATTGGTTACTACGTCAGCACATAAGTGTGGTGAAGACTTAAGCTGGTGATTAGAACTACCATCGTCGGTCGCTTAGCCAGCATTGTGGTGAAGTCTTCCTGTTTTGTGGCATTCTCGATTGCCTCTATAGCAAAGGGGTGGATGTCTCTGCTTGTAACGGTTGCCCGCGTGGTGGTGGTGCTGCTGCAGGAGGAGTGTGCGTTCACGTTTGGCAGCTCGCGACACGCCGTCCCTGGGCAGTTTGTCGTCTCTGTGGTGGTGGAAGATTTCCCCGCGTCCCCCGTGGGCCCAAACGGCCCCGCGAAGTCCCCATCTCGAGCCTTGTCGTCCGTGCCGTTGCAGTTTACACTGATCGGTAAATAAAGCGTCGGACACTGGACCGGGGCCACGTTTATCCTCGGTTGTGAAGTGGTGCGCTAACGTAGTGGTTCTCCACTGCGCTGTTATCCAGGGTTGGGCTCGTGTTCACGATGCTAGCAGCGTTGGTGGTGAGTTGCATCTGAACTCTTCTGGGCCCCATCGACAAAGCTGGCAACTCGTACGGTTTACCCCATATTCTTGTAAAGGGTTAATTTGGTTTTCAGGTCCACATGGCGTGCAGCCGTCTCAATACGGGCAAAAAACTAAAGGAAATTATTATTTTTTCTCTCTTGTGATGGGACTTTGTAGGATGAACGTTGAGATTTAAGGGCACGGTGTGACTAATAAGGTGTGAATTTGGTCTAAGGTAGGCACTGATATAAGGGGTTGACGGGTATACATCGATGTTGCGTTGAACTTGAAATGAGTATCTGGTGCAGCGTGTAAAATAAATGTCTATATTGTCACGTGACAAGAATGGGCAGGCTTCATGCCGTGACCTTGCCACCACATTGGCTGTGCTTGCTCTCCTAGCAATTGGTCCTAAAAGGCCAAGACGGTTCCTTGCCTGACCTGGGAAGCCTTGTATTTGCCACCCAGTGTTGAAGCTCATCGGATTCCTCTCGGGTTATACATATTCCGTAATAACACAAATGTAATGTAGCTTTTGGCCCTTTGCGATTGTCCGCTTCTCTCCCAAGTCTCCCAGGCGGATGGCGACTGCTCTGCGGAGCCGGCGTTCACCGGGAGGACTCCCGAGCACGGTGCAGTCTTCCGCACGGTCGCCGGCACCCGTCTGGACGTCCCCGTTGACGTCTTGGTGTCCCGGCATCCCCGGGGCAGGTGAGCGGCGGCGACTCCTCCTTCAGCCAGCATCGTCGTCCAGCAGTTGCCATTCGGGAGGGTTGTACGACTGACGCGTGGGATACTTCACCCCCCCCCCCCCCCCCCCACGTAAAATGAATTGCCAATCATGATATTGGTCGGTCGTGACAGCTCTGACTGCTGTACTGTTTTTTATTGTTGCAAATGGTAATTTTGCGTGGCTGTTGACTGTGAGTGACGTCTCTCGTGGGCCGCCGACCCCCACCCTCCGTGTGGAAATGAAGTCGCGGATCACCGGTGGCTCATCCCCCCCCGCCCCCCGAACCCCCAGCCATACGGTGGTGCAGTACGCGAGTCTCGGAGCAAGCGGCGTTACGGTTGGCGCGCTGCGATCCCTGCCCCCGAGTTCGATTCCCGCTCACGGACAAACACCGGTGACGATTCTCTGAACCCGTCCTGGGCCTCTCCCCTAGGTCGATTCGGCCTCAAATGACTACCTGGTACGACTTGTAAATATTGCCACCTGGGAAGGATCGGGCGGCTGGGGGCGTGGTGCTGGCCACCCACCTTCGTGTGCTGTGCCCCCCTTAAAGTGCTAAGCTCTTGAACAGCACTTGTCCCCCCCCCTGCCCCCCCAGCAGGTGGCCGTCAGCGGAGCTGCTCGTGGTGTGTGGCGGGGCACTCGCCGGCGATGTAATCGCCGACCCCGCCAACCCCGGCCTCCTCCGCGCAACCCTGCTGTGGGTTCCGCCTGCGGGGGATGGCAGCCCGAGAAGGATTTGCTTTTACGTGGAGGACTCTGCCGGGTTGGTTTGCTCCCCCCTCCCCCCCCCCCCCCCCCCCCCCCCCCCCCACATCGTCTCAAACCAGCAGGAGTGGAACTTCTACATTCCTCCATCCCTTGGGGGTTGGCTGAGGTGGGAGGCAGTGCAATATCCTCGGTATAATTGTGGACGGGATGTACAGTGGGCCCCTGCATTGGCGAGGGAGGTTTTTTTTCCCCCCTTTTGGGGAGGTACCTGAAACTAAAAAAAATTCGGAACGGAATGACATCATTGACGTCGGTCTTCACTCTGCAGACGCGTCACATCCCAGACAGGCCCTATATGTGAAACGGTAGCGACCGATGGTATTGAATTTTGGCTTCGTAATTGGCTTTTTTTTCGAGTCTCGGTTTCCTCCACTGTACTTTTTGTAGTTTAAGTTAATAATTGGTGTTCGTTTTTGGTTTGGTGCCATGTTGCTGTAATGCCACGTGTTTCTTCTCCATCCCTCCACCACCCAATGGCCGTTTTTTTCATGCAGTTGTCACATGGGCGAAGTGTTTTGGTTTGTCCAGCAAAAAGTGCAATGTTGCTAAGCGCTCGCAAAATTAACATGTAGGCTTTCGCGACCATGTTATCCGTAGAGGTTTTTGGGTTGGATCGCGTTAATATAAATACTTGACCAAATCTTGCTAATTAGCTGCGGTCGGGTGGTGATGGGTTTAACGATGCATTATATTTATGCGCTTTAACCCAATAACTTCTATGCTCAAGCAAAATGTACAATCCTACATTAATTTCACTATTCCTTAATTACAGTACAATGTATTCTTTTAAAATGAAAAAAAGGCTTGTACATTACACGCTGTAAATGGGCTAAAGCTTGCTCTTAATGGAAATCGTCGGGGTTTTGTCCACAACTGACTTCAATGGGGCACTTCGCCCCCTGCATTTGCCCCGCAATTTTTTACGTTACGACCTTAAAAGCACAACTGGTGACCGATATTTGATTGCCTTCATATTCAACGGTGTTGTAACATGTTCGGACCAGGAGGGGGGGGGGGGGTGTCTTTTTTTACGTGGGCGACCCCGGTTCAAAATAAATGCCTCTTCCCCAAAACGTAACGTACCCCGGAAATGGCTTAAACGCCTTGCCCGCGAGGTGTGCACGTGGAACTTCTTGAGCACCGTAAGTAGCCAACCGTGCTGATTGGAGATGTGGGGGGGGGGGGACAAATTAGAAAAAGTAAATGCAAAAAATAAAACGATTCTAACCCCAATTAAATAAAAAAAACTGATATGTAACGATTATGAAGTGGGGGGCGGTGCCTTAAATTGACCTGTGCATGACTAACCGCTCCACTATTAGATCTTAATGTAAAACCGATGCAGCATTTTTCTGTGTGGGGGAGCTTCGCTGTTTTGAATTGTGCAGCCTGGTTTAGTACACCTGGTCGAAGCCCATAAATAATGCCTTGGTGGGTCCTGTTCGCTGACATTGGAGCTTGGCGTGGCTTACAAGGAGTGCAACGTTTTTCCACTTGAGAGCTGTGGTGCGTGCAATGACGATTCTACACGTGGATTCGAGCCTTGTTATGGCCTCTGAGAATCTGAGGTCCATTCGCGTGTAACCTGGGCCAAAGGCAAACTACGAATGCACTTTGCATAAATGAGAATTTACATTTAACAGCCCTTCTGTCAATCCACTACAGGAAGAGGGCCTCTGTATCCCATGACATCACCACCATGATCGGTGCAGATTGGCGAAGGCAGAGAGCATAGATGTAGGATTGTAATGCACGTTCAACGATGGCTATTGATGAATGCCCTATGCATCACGATAGAAACAACTCCCAGTCGTGCTCGAGCCACGGCAGAAGTTTAACCGTAAATGGCTTGGTGATAAAGTTTTTTTGGGGGGGGGAGGATTAGGAGATGATATTTTGGTCGTGAAAAGTCAAGGTGTGAAACTGGCTTCGTGTTTATTTTTTTAAGCGTACATCCCCAATGGTACGGTGCCTTCGTTTCAGGCGACAGAGCGAGGTGAGGTGTTTTACCGTGGTCGTCACGGCAAAGAAGTGGCTCTCGTTCAAAGGCGCAAGACTCCTGGGTACGACCTTTAAACTGGACCGGTGATGGTACCTCAACGGGCGTGGGGGGGGGGGATGGAACTGGACATCCCCCAGCAATACCCCTCACCAACTCGTGGCTCTCGCTCCACCATTGTCAATGACCATCCTGGTTGGCCCTCATCCATTCTAGTGATTTTTAGTTTTTGTTTTGGCGTCGTGCTTTTTACCTCAAAGCTTTGAGTGACACGGGTACTGCCAAAAATATTTGGGGGGGGGGGGGGTGTAAAATTCCAATCAAAATAATTTTGGAGTGTAATTATTCTTATTTGCCAATTTTTTGACCACGACGCCGCCACACAAGTGGCCTATGCTTTGCGAATGACGCCACCCGGAATCTGTTAATGTCCATTATGGAGCAGACTGTGTTCAAGTAGTCATATCACGGTTATTACACCAACTAATAACCAAGGTGGCTGCTGAGAAATTTAACCCTGAACCTCTAGCAAGTGGCCAACGTGCCTTTACCCGCATTGAGTTCCCAGCCCACCACGCCCAATTGTCTTGTTTAAGAGTGGCGGTGGTGGCGTCGGAGCGTTCATCGTGCAATTCCGCTTGTATCGGTCCCACAATACAGGCGGAGGGCATCACGGTGGCCGTTCACGCCGTGGATTTATGCCGCCTGGAGAGCTCAGGGCCACGGGGTTCACTGTGGTGGGCGCTCGCAGCAACGTGGAGGTCGTCAACTTCACCGTCACGTTCAACCAGGAGGTGAGGTCGTCGTCTTCCGGCCACGGGCAGTGGCCTTTGGTTTCTGACCGAGGTAGTTTTCCGGAATGGAATGGCGTGGGGTTGGAGAGGTTTTGTGTACGACTTTACCCACGTGTAGCGACGGGTTGCATGCTGGGGATGTGCAAGATCTCACCGTGTTGGTCCAGTGCCCTCAGAGCTGCATTGGATTGAGGTTGCTAAACAAATGCATTGTAAGTCATTACAACCAAGTGCTTGCCACAAATTAGCCACAATACCTTGCTGATCTCGTCAAGGCGCATAAACCATCGCACAAACTCCGGTCACCGTCGTAGCAGCAGCTTTTGGATGGCCATCAAATAGAAAGTTGCCACATCGCGTGCTATCGGACTCGCTTCTGCGGCCATCTGGAATGCTCTTCCTTCCAATATTAGAAGGCCACTTGAGCTATGCAATTTTAAATCCTATAGATTGAAAGTTCAGTTGTTTTAGAACTGCTTTTTGTTCGGGTTGTCCTCCCGATTTTAACACTGTTGGCTACGTCCAGTGCGAAAATAAGTCGGCAGCGGGACGATGGGATGGAAAGTTGCCGAACAAGGCTACAAAATTAGCTGCTGTGCGTTCTGGCAAGCGAACAAACTACCCCCCACTGCTTCTCCCGCACAGTTCTCGGCGACGCGCGTCGCAGCCTTCGTGCGCCTGCTCTCGGTGCGCAGTGGCCACGAGGCCCTGCGGCTGGACGCGCGCACCGCGGCCGTGCGAGCGTCGCCCGCCCCGCGCACCGTCGCCTTTGCGGCACCGCCGTTCTCGCTGCGCGGGGGCGAGCGCTACTGCGTGACACTCGACGAGGGCGTGGTCCAGCTGAAGGCCAACAACGTCCGCATCAACTCCCAACCGCGCCCGGCCTGCGACTGGGTCTTCGCCCTGCCGCGCAAGGTGTACGGTAAGGGCGGTGCGCGGACCCAAAGGTGGCCGGGCGCTATCGGCTATTTGTTGTGTTTTATATTGGACTTTTTTTTCTCTTGCACGCTTATCGGTTTTTGATTGTATTGTTTGTGGTTGCGACTTGCTGACCCTGCCCATACTGAACATCTGAAAAAGAGCTTCATACCTCCATTAGATTCCTTCAGTCATAAATAAAAATTCTGATGCTGAACAAATGGCAGGGGCTTTGGGTAAGGTGCTGGCCAGAGGTGACATCTCCCGCTGTGCTGGAGGGTTGTAGGTTTGGTCCCTGCCCTGGCGATGCCCGTTGTTGTATATTTGTCCTCTCCCCGTGATGATTGCCTGGATTTTTCTCCAGATCGGTTTAACCCCTGCGCATTTTTAGAATCGACCATCGCGGTTCAGAATATTTGTCCGCTATAAATGTCCAGTGATAAGCCGCTTCGTAGAGCTATCGTTTGTGAAAGCCCAGGGTCGCTTTTGAAAAATAACTAGCTCGGGTGGACCTTACCTGGTAAAATAAAAATAGTAAAGTAGTACAATATGTTTGACCTTTGACTTCTTAAACCTTTTCCACTTTATTCCCGTCCCTGCCACGTGGCCCTCCGGCGTGTCGCACTGCTGCCCCCTGCAGCGTCGTGCTACGCCCAGTGCGACCCCCACTTCAAGTCGTTTGACGGGCGCCTCTTCGACTACATGGGCACCAAGCCCGTGCTGCTCGCCGGCCTCTGCGAGCCCGCGGGAACGGACGACGAGGGCTGGGCCGTGTACGGCAAGAGCGAGCACTGGGGCAGCCGGCGCGTAAGCTGGATGGAGTCGGTCGTGGTCGAGGTGCACGGCTACAGAGTCACCCTGGAGCAGGGCTATGTGAAGGTGATTCTGCAGAGGTGGGGGGGGGGGGGCTTGCGCAACACTGGCTTAATTTAACCCTTTCCTCTACCGATGAGGTCGTCAATGTACGTCGGTCTGGTTTGTTGTTTGTTTTCCTTCCAATTTGGTTCCGGAATCTGAAAGGGGAAACTAAAAATAAAACGACTTTATCGGTGATTTAAAGCTTTCGTGACTGCAGGGATTCATATTCTTGGTTATTTCGGTAAAGTCACGTAGAAGGGAAATAATAAAAATATGAAACAATAAAATTCTCACGACGTTTCGACTGCAACACAAGCAATCATCAGGTGTGAAAACCACAGCAAGAAAATTTGAAAAAAGTGAGAATTGTTTTGTTGTATATTTTTATGATTTTATTTTCCTTCTGTGTGACTTTACCAAAAGAACCAAGAATATGACTTTATTGGTATCGAGTCTCTTCACAAGGCCATGTGGGAGGGCGTGTGGCACAGTTTTGGCACCAGCTAGCGTAGAGTGCAGTCGTGTCGCTATGCTTCTCTGCCGTGGGTAACGTCTTAAAAACAACGGCACTAATGCCTCCTCTCAATAAAATTAAACGCCGGGCCACTCGTGCATTCCGAGATTCGGCAGTGAACAGGGATGCCCACACCCTGCAACTTGCAGACGTCTCGAAACGAGAGAGGATTAAGAGAACAAAGCTTCTACGTCTTGGGCACTCCCTCCAAATGTCTCCTTGTCACTCCACGCACGCCTGCACTCAGCCACTGCTGAGCCCTGGCTTGGATAGCCAATTTGCTTGTTTTTGTGTACAGGGTCGCGCAGTGCCGGGAGAAACTTGGTCCAAATGTCCTTTGGGGTTTCTAATGTGGTAAGGGTGGGGAGGCAGGAACGGGAGTTGGTTTGCATGACAGTTAAGGACGTCCAATACCCAATGTTCTTGTTGAACGTTCAAGATTTGTACGTTTTCCCCGCGCTCGGTTACCGTATTGGCCACTACTTTGTAAAAACCGCAAGGACCCATTTCACGAAGCTGGGTGGCAAGGGGTCTGCCTGCGGTTGTAACGTCGCATTGTTAACACGTGCGATGCATTTTGTTTCTTTTTCAGGTGGACGGCGCTTTCGTTAACATGCCGTACGCAGAACCGGACTTCAAGTTCAAGATCTACAGCTCCAATCACTACTTCGTGCTGCGCACCAACCTCCACTTCTCCGTCAAGTTTGGCGGTGAGAATGGGGCAGTTTTTTTAAGCACAACACCACTGTCCCATGGCAGCACCAATAGGTGTCGAGGCAGAACACTGGGGGGGTGGTGGGATCCACCTGTAATAGAGAAAGCTGATGATGAAAACTAGATGCCTGCAACACAAAGGCGTCGATCGCCGTTCATGCGCCCGTATAGATAGGGACCACCCACCTCCACCAGGAGATAGCGGCGGATGAATGGAGGAAAACCCCCAGCTATATCTGCTCTCGAGCTCCAGCCAGCAGGGAACAGGAGCGGTCCCCGAAAACTTCCCAAGCGTCCAGCTTGGAGGACGTCAAGCGTCGCCTCGGTCTCCGTGTGAATGTAGCCCGAAAGTGGGTGATAAACGTGCCTTGTTTAAGTGTGTGCGGGAACGCGTATCCTCGGGTGCGAGTGGGGACAAAGTGGTCGTCCTGGGGTATAGTGTAAGCGCACCGTGTTTGTACAGATGCGCTACGGTGTGAAAGCAGGCAGGGGGGAGCTTGTCTCAAAATTAAAGACGAACCAACCCTCTTAAATCGCCTCGGTTTTGATATACATTACTATCTTATTAGACTCGACCCACACTATACACGAGAGTGACTTGGCTGACCAAAAATTATGAAGGGGAGTCTTAAAGAAAAGCTGCTCCAACCACAAGGAATGAAAAACCGTGCGTGTAGCGCATGGGGCTGCAAAACTTCGCCATGGGGCCAATTTGCCTCTGCTTGAATGATTGTAGGCCACGGGGGAGGAACGGAGCAAGGATAGGCTTCTCTTATGCACAGGCCATAGCAATCTTTTGATCGCTTTAGACTTTGTTTTGATGGGCAAAGTTCCAAATGGCACCAACTTGATAATCGAGTGTTCATTCTGCATCATAACAAGAGTTTTCACGCTCCCCTTTGTAGACATGGCCAACACAGATGCCTCCATAATAGAGGCTTTTGGGGTTTGATCACGTAAATATAAATATCCCAGATTTGGACCTAGATCTAACCCCAAAACCTATATTATTGATGAAAGTGATCGCAAAAGCCTACGTGTTAAACACACAAATGCCTCAATTGGACGCTGCAATCCTAGTTGCCTACTAGGGCAAGCAGAAATCGTTTTTTCCTCCGGGGGGGGGGGGGGGGCTGGTGGATTGGTGCGGCTGCCTCGCGCACGAACCTTGCGAGGGAACACAAGTTTTAGCAAAGAACTTTGGTGTTTTTTTCATCCACTTTTGGATGCATCCCAAAGTGCATGCGCGTGTAACGCTTGAACGCAAGTCGCGTGCTGGATAGAAAGTGTTGGGGGGGGGGGGGGTGTTCGGCACTCGACGATTGAAGTGGCAGCAAGGTGGGGGGGGGCTGATAGGGAGTGAGAGGGGAGCAAAGTGTTTTGTATGGAGGGATGTGGAACTTTGCACCGTACGTAGACAACTCTACTAATTGGAGGTGTGGTTGGAGGGGGAATAAACTAAATGCAAAGCAGGATGGAGTTCGAAGGTCACAGGTGTGACAGCGTGCTGGTCTTGGAGACTGCAATGAACGCCGTGGCTCTACGCTGCACCACCACCCCCAACTCGTTACTTTTGCCTTTCCCTGCTTGTGCTCCAATGCCACGTTTGTGCCAACTTCTACCAGAAAGTTGGCCAGAAGCCCTATAGTGGAGGGGGGTTTGTGCGTTTGTCTTTGGGTTTTGGGGAAGAAGTCGATCGCAATGCAGGTCGAACGCAGGATGTTGCCGAACGCAAGCAACATGTTTGAATGTGGGCACTTGCGTGTGGGCACTGCCAGTCAAGGTTACGAAGATTAACGAAAGGAGAAGTTTCTCAGTTGTTTGCAGTGTTCCGGTGCGGGTCTACGTTGGTGTGATATGGGCCCCGTGGTTTGATGGATACATGCAGTTTTGTGCTGTCACCTTAGCACGCAGTGCATGATGGGAGGACCGATGCCTTGACGGCAGTTGCTGTTTTCAGTGTTTTTATTATGAATATTATCCATTTCCAATCTAAGTACTCTTTGTCCAAGTTAACGCTTCGATTCAAACATTTCACACCGTTAGGAATTGGCTTTCTGTTTCACGTGTGCTTTGCATGTGGGAGGAAATGCCCCAGTATGAGGAATTGCATTTCCTTCTGGATCTAACCTTTTGGCTTTTTTTTTTAAGGCTGACATTTGTAAAAAAAACGTAACTCGAAGCAATAACCCCAAGTTGGAAACTTTTTTTAAAATGGAGAGCCGGCGCGGTGGTAAAAATCGTACCTCACGGGAGGCAGCCTCCTGGGTTCAGTTCCTGACTCGTGTCCCTTGCTCTGGCGTTTTGCTCTCCCCAAGTTCGGCATGGGGCATCTTCCCATTGCTGAAACGGACAAAAGGCGGATCCCTCGTGTAGCCTTAAGAGACTGTAGGGGCAAGTGCCATTTAGCGAGTAGCACCGATAAAGGCCAGCATGGCACACTGAGGAAGTCACGCGGTTTCTCCTCTAGCTCCAAATCCCAATAGATCCTGAAGTAAAGAATATATTTTTGTATGGGCTACTTATGATGCACGTGCCATTTCCCATGTTTTCGAAAGTTACCTTTTCATACATGTCAACCCCTTTATCAGTGCCCTACCTTATAACAGACCAATTCGGACGTTATTGCTCACCCCATACCCCTTATAAATCTTAACGTTCATCCTACAAAGTCCCATCACAAGGGAGGAACAACATTTTTGTTAGCCGTATTTGAAACGGCTGTACGGCGTATGGACCTGAACTCGATTTCCCTGGACAAGAATATGGGGCTGACGGGTTTTTTGCTGTTGCTGCTACCCGAGATTTTGCCAAATGAGACTTTAACGACGTCACGATTTGGAACGCTACATTCTGTTCCTGTGGCTTTTTTGTTGTCTCGCAGAAGTGTCTAGACTGAGGTACTTGTGATGGCAATCTATAATTAGTGGTCTCAGGATTTGGGGTTTGCCATGTCCTATGCTCCCGCAGTGGTGTGTAATGGTTAGCACACTCGACCTTGCAAGCCAGAAGCTGTTGGTTCTGTGCCCTGGAACCTTGGATTTTGACGTCCCCTAAAAATATATATATATTTTTTTTATAATGGTTCAAATACAATACTGTTGCAGCTGTGATACATCCCATAAGGTAGTTTAATAACCAATCCATTGCCCTACTAGTTTTTTGAAATTCAAATGGCAAGGTTGTAAATTTTTATTCACCTTTTTAAAGTTCGTGTAATCGCTTTTTACAAACTGGGAACTAAAATAACAGTGACGTGAATGTCCATAGCATTGGGCATGGGCGGTGGGGGAGAAACGGCCAGAGGAAGGGTGTTGTAATGCTGGATGCCCCCGCAACCATAACAGCGCTGGGACCCTTCCTTGTGTGTCATCAGGCCCTCTTGGCAGCAGCTTCGGTTACGCAACTTCTGTGCCAATGAGTCCTAACAAAGATAACCGCATTTACAGATGCGTCTTTCGTCGTAGGATAATTCATGGTTGTGTGGGGGGTGGGGGGGGGCTCGAATATCGCGTTCAAACAAAACGCTGTGCGTGTTTCCATGAAGACCAAATGCAGCATGAGCTTGTCATGTCAATCCCCAATGGGGATTTTTTTTTGCATCGTCATGGCTATTGGGTGCCCGTGCCCCCATTAAATACCGACTGCGGTTGTCTTTGCCAGACGTGGCCCTGTAGTGCCCGGAGTTTCAGAAATGGAATATTTATTTGTACTGGAGCAATCCGATGCGCTATAAAGCTCTTTTCACAGTGGCCAGTAGACGGATGGCTCGGAACGCTACAAGAAGCGGTACAAAAACGCGATAGGGGTGCAGTGTATAGTAGAAAATAAATAAAGCGCTGACAATCTACAAAAAAATACTACATTTCTTAACAGGTACAGCCGACCTAAGCGTCTCTTTTCAGAAGTGGATATTGCTGAATATTCTGTGGGGGTCTTTGGTGTCGTTATATTTGGAAGGTCATTTCAGTTTAAGCCTTTTTGTTCTATTTTGAAATGCGATATCAGTTGTGTTTTTATTGCGTTTGCAATCCAAGTGGTAATTCTTCACAATGGGGCTGTTGCAGGCAAGGCTTGTTTTGTTTACCTCTACCGCCAAGCAGGTGTGTGTGTGATAAATGGCAACGGTTTTAGTTTGCGGCCAAACGCTGGTTTGTGTCATGGTGACAGCTTCCCTTTTGTAATTTGTGTATATATATTTATACTTGTGCACGAATCGGACGCTTGTGGACGAGTACAGTAATCGGCCGTAGCCGCAATCCACTGCTGGCTTGAAGGCCCCGTCGCCAAGCCGTCGGTCCTCCCCGCGGCTTGCCGACGTGGCGATCCGCCCGGCCTCCGGCGCAAGGAGCCGAAGATCGCAAACTCCTCGCCTTTTCCCTGCGTGCCATTGACGAACACGCGATATTTACTGCCGCATGTTTGGGGGGGGGGGGGGAGACCTTGCCACCGCTGTAGCGGTGCACTGGAAGATTGAACCAACGACCTTCCTGGATCGCGAGTCTCTCCAATGTGACCGCTTGAAACAATCAAAGTGGTTTTTTTCGGGTTTCATCATGTACATATAAATGTCTTAAACCCATCACCACCCAACACAGCCAAGTTTTGTCACATGAACAGAACATGCCAATTCGTTAAGTGACAAACCTTACTTATTGGCTGTCCGGTAGTGGCGGGTTTAACGACGCATTTATATTTACACGATCTAACCCAAACGTCTGGATGATATTAGTTGCCAAAGCCTACTACGTGTTCTTTTAACCTAGCTTGAAACGTTTGCGACTATCCAAACTCATTCCCACCACCTCGCTATGTCCACCCCAGCGCTACACCAGATAATCCCTTTCATATCACTATAGAAAGGTCGTGTAATACACAAGCACATCTAAAAAATGTTTGGGGGGGGGGGGGGGGGAGAACGAACCCAATAACATTCTCGGTACCAAAGCACCCACAAAGCCATACAGGAGAGTGGCACAGTTTGGCGCCAGCTATCCGTGTGGTCGTTTCGCTCCGATTCTCTGCGGTGAGTAAAATGTCTGTTTTTAAACAGCGCTGTACCTCAATGACATTTAACGCTGAACCGCTTGCACGTTCTGACATTTGGCGGTGAACGCAATGCCCACCCTGCAACTTGCAGACGTCTCTAACGGGGAAGCGTTTAACTGCTCATGACTGTATGCGTGAACTTCTTTAGCGCCGCACGTAGCCAACCGTGCTAATCGGATGTGCGACGTTGTTCTCGCCCCCACCTTTCCCGCTGCAGCCTCTCGTGTGGTGGTGGAGCTGGAGAATTCTGCCCTCTACCGGGGTGCCCTCTGCGGGCTCTGCGGGAACTACAACGGGAGGAAGGACGATGACTGGCAGCTGCCTGGGCAGGGTGCCACCCTCACGGCGCACGACTTCGGCAACTACTGGGTCAGCAGCAGCATCCGCATGAGGTGAAGGGATGCCGCGCGGTGACGCCAGAGTGTGCAGTTGTAGTCGTTGCTTTGCATCCACGTTGACCGTAAGGAAGTAGAATGAAGACTGCGCCAAGTTGACCGTCGCGGGCCCCTGAGTTTTTTGGTGGTTTGCTTTTTTTTTTGCTGTTACTGGTGGAATGGTTCACGAACTGGACTCGGGACTGACATTTTTTTTTTAGGTCTGGTAGTGGAAAATAACTGGGGGCAGGTTTCTGAGACGTCCACCCAGTTATGAATAAATGGGGTACGCAAGGTTGGTCAAACGCGGACGTTGGCTGTCAAGCGCGCGCGTCAACGGCTCCCCCAACTTGTCCGTTTTGCCTTTTTCATGTCTCCTCCCTCCGCGCACTGCACGCTCAAGCGGCGTTCCCGACGACGGCTCCTCGGCGCTGCTGCAGCTCAACGCGAGCCTGGTGGCCGTGGCCTCCGAGGGGCAGCGGTGCGGCCTGCTGACGGACCCGCGGGGCCCGCTGGCCGCGTGCGCCGGCGCGGTGAGCCCGGCGCCGTACTTCTCCGACTGCGTGTACGACATGGCCGCGGAGGAGGGCGGCGTGCAGGCCTACGTGGCGCTCTGCCTCGCGCTGCAAGCCTACTCGGACGACTGCTACACCGCCGGCGTGCCCGTCGACCCGCGGTGGCGCACCGTCACCGGCTGTGGTGAGGTTGGCGGCGATGGTGGCGAAGGCTTCAACCGTTTTTAACCAGGGTCGGGCCCACCTAAGGGATAATATATGTAGCTTGTTTTCAGAGGCGATGTAGCCACAACGGATGTGGAAATGTATAGCAACCAAATTATCTTTTCGTGTGTCTCTGAAATGTGGAGCGAGGTGGGGGGGAAAGCATGCAAGACTCAACCGTAACACGTGGCGAGCTGGAAGCGTGGTCCATAACATCCGTCCAGCCCCTTGAGACTGCAATTTGTGTATTTGCTACCCCTGCACGGTGATCACCCGTGCAAGCAATAACCAAGCTTATCGGCCTCATTCTGGGTAGGTTTTTTTTGTCATGTATGATATAAGGAGTTTTGGTATGCAGGCACTGGATGAATTGTTGCCTTTTGCAGGATTATGAAAAAGTGACGTGGATTGGGGGCCTTTATCCAACAGTGTAGGAGGGCTGGGTAGTGTGTAGGTGGGTGATGCAGAGTTCTTGACCACTGGTGCCGCATCCTGCCGTTACCACCCAGAGCTGAGCTGCGGGCCGATGCCGCTGTCGGTGCTGTCGCTGGCCGCCTCCTCGTGCCCGGCGACCTGCGCCGACCCCGACGCGGGGCTGGACTGCGGCGACCCCGTGGTGGAGGACTGCGTGTGCGTGCCCGGGCACCTCTGGGACAAGACGCGCTGCGTGGAGCCGGCCGCCTGCGGCTGCGTCGTGGACGGGAAGTACTACTCGGTAACAAAGTGCTGGCAATCGGTGGTGAGGGGTTGGGTAAATTGGCAGCCTAAGCTTCTTTAACTTTCATTTTTTTTTTTTACCAGGCAAGCCCCACAAATGAGAGCCAAACGAAATTAACGGTTTATCACGTGACAAATGTATAGCAGCGCAATACTCTAAACCAGTGGTTCTTAAACTGTGGCACACGCACACCCTGGGCATGCGAGATGTGGCCAGATTTATTTAAAAGGTAAATCATCAAAACGAATTGAGCATGGGCACCCAAGTACAACGACGTTTCATGATGTATAAAAAAACTATTTGATAACCAAAGGGGGGTGCAAGGCTGCAACAAAGGTTAAGAACCACTGCTCCAAACGCACGTTGATTCTAAATGTAGAGAGAAACCGGGGGACCCGGCGAAAAATCCATGCGATCACGGGACGACAGACGCCAAATATACAGCAGCAGGCGTCAGGGTTGGGATCGAATCGACGACCTGTATACCAGGCGAGGTAGTTAACATCTCCTAGCCACTGCAGCGCGCTCCCTCTTGACCGTCGCTGGGGGTGGTGTCGGCGGTTGTGCAGATCGGCGAGAAGTTCTACAGTGAGGACTGCAGCGAGCACTGCGCCTGCCTGGAGCGGGAGCGGGTCGACTGCGAGCCCGTGTCCTGCAAGCCGCCGCTGCAGCACTGCGGCGTCAACGAGTACGGCACGCATGGGTGCCTGCACAGCTGGAGTAAGTCTCTCGCCAACATGTTGTGCTCCTTGCGGTTTTGTATTGTTTTGCTCTCGTAACTTCACTTGGCCCCCAGGGCCCCCTCCATACTGGTGGACATCCGTCGAAAAAGTTTTTTTTTATAGTTCCACATTCGATTCCTTCTGCACGCTCGCTTAAAATTAAGGATTCTGATTTTGGTTTAACACGTAGGCTTTTGCGACCAATATCATCCATAATAGAGGATTTTTGGGGGGTTTTACTGCGTAAATATATGTGTCGTTAAAACCGACACCGGTGTGCTGTACTAGTGACGAATTGGCATGTTCTGTGTGACAACCCTTACTAGTTGGCTGGTCTCGGGTTTAACGACACTATTACGTGATCCAACCCAAAAAACCTCTTCTGAAGTCTGGTGCTGCCCCCACCTCCACTCTCGTTCCCATCCTCTAGAGCAGGGGTCACCAATCTTTTTTCACAGCGGGCCGGATAACTGATAGAATGACGAGCGCGGGCCGCATAATCATTCTGTTCAATACTTGTGGGCGGGAAAGATGCGTATTTATGTGTGTTGCCATGGAAACCATGGTAACGTCAGAGCGTAGGCTCTGACGGCGGGGCCTGATGGACTGACGTCGTGGGCCGGATCCGGCCTGCGGGCCGTAGTTTGGTGACCCCCTGGCTCTAGAGTGTCTCACACTTTCCACAACGTCGGGGGCCTGAACGACATTCCCCCCCCCCCCCCCCTCGTGAGGGGTGTCTCGCTCTGCTGTCCTCGGGCCCCCTGCCCCTGCTGCTGCTGCTTTTGTTGCGACAGTGATCTGCTCGAGCGGTGGAAGGCAGCACTACGCCACGTTTGACGGGCGAGCGTACGAGTTCTACGGAACGTACACGTACGCGCTGGCCATGGTGAGCAGCGGTGGGGGAGATGCTACGGCGTGAACCGCGTGCCTTGCCGACCCACAATGCACCGGTACACACGAGGGGGAGTGGGGTGGAGATCGTAGAGGGCCAGGGGGGACCGGTGGTCTTGATTTTTATCGGGGTGGATTGGATGCCTGTTTAACTGGGTTCATACCTTGGGCATGAATTGATGTCACATGGTGCTCTGGCTGCATAACATCTACATATTTAGTCATTTGCTTGTGTATCTGGTGCGCTAACTGCGCAAATAAAATAATTAGCTAGCTGCTCCTATTATCCCGTATGAGGTGACATCCCCAGAAGGGTGTGTATATACTGCTGCCCTTTATTTTAAAAGTTCATTTCCGATTACACCTTTCACCCAGGGAAGCCTCGCCGTGTCTCGACTTTTTTTTTTAGGAGGGTTCTGCCACGTTGGGAAAACATTTTGGTCAGCATTAGGATGTTAGGCCAATGGGACGCCACGTTGTTATTAGAAAAAAGACAACCTAGTTTGGGAAAACTTACAGAAAACTGACGGCTCGAGTTGACCTGAACAGGGACGGTGGTTGCCGCGAGAGACCACACGAGAGTTGCCGCGTGTTTACGACGCCGTCGCCAGCGTAGACTTTTTTTAAGTCTCCCTTAACGGCGCTTCCAACCTCGTGTCGACGGCTGTTTGTGTCACAGCCTCGGTTTTCAAAACCACGTCCCCTTTTTTGCCATTTGCTAATTATAATAACACATTCCGGTTCGTTTTTGCCCACCTCTCCCATTTGTTTTGTTTTCGTTCTCCTCCCTCCCTTCCCAACCATTCTTTCTGAGGAAGACTCGCAATGACTCGTCGTCTGGCGCGTGGCGCGTCTTGCTGAAGAACTCCCCCGTGCCAGGCTCCTTCATCCAGTCTCAGCCCAAGGCGGTGTACATTGAAATTGCCGGCCTCGCAATCGCCTTCCTCGCCGGCAAAAGAGTCCTGGTAATGGTGTCATTTTGTGTTTCTGTCGCGAACTGTTTGGTTTTTCGGGTGTCTCCGTAGGCCGGCTTCCGTCCCCACCACCCCCGTGCAGTTGCACCGCCTACGCACTGTGGCCGGGGTGGGAGGGGGCTTTAAATTAAACCTGAAATTTGCCTCGTGATTAATGCAGTTGTCCATGCGCAAAAAAGGATTTCGTGCAATTTGAAAATGTATACGTTAGGCTCTTACAATGAGTGACATGATTTAACGACGACTTGTTTATCTGGGAAAGCCACAGGACTCTTTGAGCAGGGTCCTGCATTGCCTTTTTCATTGTTTTCTGCCAACTTATGAGCTTGTAAACTTGTGGTGCACTTGGTGGCACTGTCTATTGAACTTCTTCCGCACCCTACGTAGCCAACCGTGCTAATATGGAGCTTTGGCATTATCCAGAATATGTATTTGAAAGCGATATGACTCCAGTTGATCAACTATTGGACGACAACTATTTGACTGTCAAAAATCCCTCGCAACAACCTCCCCGATAGCCAATCGCTGCTCCTCATAGGCCGCGCACGAGACTACGTGCGTGTACCGTGCGCACGCGAGGACTGCTCGCCACGCACGTCGGCGTTTTGACTGCGTGGCGCCTTGCAGGTGAACGGCCGGTCGGCCCAGATTCCCTTCTACTACCCGGACACGGGCAGCGATCCCGAGGTAGTGCTCTCGTACGCGGGGAACCACCTCCTACTGGAGGCGCGCGTCGGCCTGCGTGTGCTCTTCGACGGGCAGCACGTGCTGGTGGCGGCGCTGGCGACGCACGCGGGGCTCGTGGCGGGCCTCTGCGGCAACTTGGATGGCGATGCATCCAACGACATGAGGCTGCCGAGCGGCGTGGCCACCAGCCACGCCGGGACATTTGGAGACTCGTGGAGAGTGATGCAGCCGTGGGATAGGTGAGGTTGGTGGGTTAAAGATGCGTTTTATCCATAAGAGGTTTTTTTGGGTTGGATCGTATAAATATGTCGTTAAACCCACCACCACCCGACACGGCCAATTAGTAAGGCTTGTCGCATAAACAAAACATGAGTATAGCACACCACCGGTGTGTTGGAGAGAAAGCCTTTATATATAAGGGAAATTTGTGAATGTCTGTTAGAAATGTTTAGCATACTTCCCAACATGCAACAAACTTGAAATTTGGCCTGTGGGTAGCTTCCAAACTACACTACAAAAAGTATAGAATAAACTATTTGGGGGGAGGGGGCACATTAATGGATATTTTGCACGGCAAGTGAGTGGTGACGTCAAATCTGTCACCCGCATGCTGAAGCGTCACGCAGTGCACCTGCAGACGTCACGCCCCCCCCCCCCCACCCTCTGCGTAGGCCGTGTATTAATCCAAAACAAGAATCCATGTCTCGGGCGAAGCCGGGTAGCAAAGCTAGTCTATTCATAAATGTGGTGGCAATTCCCAAATTTGAATTAGAACCGCCAGTGATCTCTCCTCGAGCAATCCCAGTCGTCCTGCTTCTTGACCGCTGCCACCACCCCCCCCCGCCCCCCACCCAGCGGCTTTGAGCAGGGCCAGGCCAAGCCGCCCAGCGTCGCGAACCAAGATCTGGCGGCCCGCCCCTTGTGGTGCGGCCGCCTGCTGGACGCGAAGCTGTTCGGCGCGTGCCACGGGCAGGTGGCGGTGCAGCCCTACTGGCAGCGCTGCGTGTGGCACGTGTGCCACTCGGCAAAGCCGGCGGCGATGCGCGCCGCGCTCTGCGCGTCGCTCGACCTCTACTCCGTGGCGTGCGCCCTGCGGAGTGTCGCGCTGCCCGACTGGAGGCCCGCGGCCAGCTGCGGTGAGCGCCGCGGCCGTCGGGGAGACGCGTGGCGGTGGGCACCGCGCTGTGGCGGCGGCGGTGGCGGTGGCTTTGCGCGTGGCGTGTTAATCCAGAACCTGGTGGAGGCGGCGAGGGTGGTTGGCGGATCGCGCAAGCGTTGTACAAACGGCCCTCCTGGCTCGCCAGGAGGATGCAATACAGAAATTTGTGGAATCCAGTGTCCCCCCCCCCCCCCCTAATTTGCTTTCGCCAGGTGCCTCAGGTTACCTCCCACGTGTAAACACTATTTGCCCTATAATGCATTCATATAAAAGGGGACTGCAGAGCTTGGGAAACTGTTTGCGCCGGCTCATCGCGTCCTTCCTTGCTCATAGAGGTAGTTCTCTCTCTCTGAGCGTTGGCGACCTTTCCGTGTAGTGTTACAAATTGAATTGCGATCTTGATGCTTTGCAGGGTCCCCCCTGGCACACTGTTCATGGTCACATATGGGCCTTGAAGATGGTGGGCAGGCCCGACCTAGGAAACTAGCACGGTGCTAAAAGTTTACATTCGTGTGGCGGGAGTTGGAGCCGGTTCCTGTTCCCTTTGCGACTGGGATGCTCTCCTGTCCCCCCACCTCCCTACACTGTTTAAGCATAATTTTTAAATGTAGTACAAGACTAATCGATGCCCAGGTATGTCGTCAAGTGATGGCTCAATACTGGTCATCAATAGTGACACGTGCTGAAGACTTGGTAATTGCAGCTGCCAAAGGTTGGGAGTGCTGCTGGAAGCCCCACAAAAACATGAACCTGCCTGGGTAATTTGTTATCAAACACTCCAACTCGGTGCGTATTCGGTAGTTGAGGGAGCGGGAGTGGAGTTCCTCTACCTGGACGGTGTGCTAAACACAAATAATAAGAAAATGAGTTCAATCCATGGCTTCGGTAGCTTCCTAATATCGGAAGGGAAGAGCGTTCTAGACGGCTGTGGGAGTGCATCTGAAAGCGCGTGCGCAACACTAACGGTTTGTTTGACCGGTTGGCCAAAAGCTGCAACTGCAAGGGATGGCCCTGGGTATTTGCGTGCTTGACGGGTTTATGCTGCTTGAGATTGGCGATTTAGTAACTCTGCTGCTTCTGCATACCCTGGTTACTTTGTCACAAAACCTTCAACTCTTCGTGAGTATTGGGGCATTTGGAGGGGAGTTCCAGTACTTGAAGTGCGCTCCATTCTCGTTTTTTGGCAGCTCGGATCTCGCCCAAATCGGAGCAGCATTATCTTTTCACCCATTACAGTAACTACGTTTTCTAAAGACTGCCTGGCCTGTCGCTGCACAAGGCTTCAAGGTCTTCTCGACCACAGTTATAATACCGACTCCTGTGGCAAATTGAAACGTTTTAAAATTGCCATCGCCACCACTCCATTGGCAAACGATGGCCATTCAGAATGCAAATGCTCCTCCTGGCTTTGCTTTTTCTGGGGGTTATGGATTTGGAATTATTGATGCAAGCTCCTTGACTTGTCTGCACGGGGGCTCCCTTTGTAGTGTTGTCCTTGCGCAACGTTCCATCCCATCCCGCTACCCATTCCCAACTCTTCCTTAACCCTGTCCCGCTTCCATCGCCCGCGCGCAGCCCTGCCCAGGTGCCCGCCGGGCAGCCACTACGAAGCGTGTGCCCCCGGCTGCCCCAGCACGTGCGCCGTTCCCACGGCGGACGGCCTGTGCCCCGTGCGGCCGCCCTGCCTCGACGGCTGCGTCTGCAACTTCGGGCGCGTGTGGAGCGGCGACCGCTGCATCCTCCCTGCGCAGTGCGGCTGTGTGGCCGGAAGCTCCTACTACCAGGCGAGTGGTGTGTGTGTGTCCACGTGAGTGGTTGGCGTTGTTAGGTCCCCCCCTTTATTGAATGCATCTACTACCACATGGATGTATCAGCGGTGCAGTATAACGCACCACCGGTCCTCGTCAAATGGTCTCAAAATCCAAATGTCAATTGACCTTCGACTTCTGACTGCTTCGACGTCGTAGGGAACAGATTTTGATGCACCACCAACCCCGCAAGATTTTCTAACGGGGTTGCAAATTGTGGGGAAGTAATTATTGTGAAAAAATGTTTCCTTCATATTGTACACCACCCGGTGTACCGCCAAAACGTTCACATAAAAAAAGTGGAAACCTTTTATATTTTTCCTCAAGGCAACGCTGTTTTATTGACATTGTTATGCTCCGCTAGTTTGAGGGGAAGGAGTTTGGTTTTATCTATCTCCCGCAAAGATTGACCCGCCCCGTCCGGCCCTTCCTCCTGCCCTACCGTGTGTCCTCTGCCCCACCGCTCAGGCTGGAAGTCTCTTCCTGAACCGTAACTGCACGGAGCTCTGCTCCTGCCGGACGGGAGGAGCTGTCGTGTGCTCGGCGTTCCGCTGCTCTGGGCAGTGCGTCCTCGAGGACGGGGAGTACCTGTGCTCCCAGCGCATCAGTAAGCAGCCGTAGAAGGCTAATGGATTGTGCTGCCCTCCTGCTGCTGCCTAATAACTCCTGTCCATTGTGTATGGTGGTCGCCCATCCAAACGCTATGCAGCCTCCACCCCTCTTGAGCTTCCGAAATCTGGCCTCGGAATTTCGTGTTGTTTTGGTCTTGGGACGGTTTCACGTTTACGGTACAAATTAGTCTAACGTGATGGTTGCTCGATACTTATTGGAAAAAGGCCTAATGGCAATATTGCCTGCTTCTGGCTGACCTAGGCCCACTTGGAGCTGGCACTGGACTGTCCCCTTGGCCAGACTGCAACGAGGTATTGAAACGGTTGTGGTGCCATGGTGGTTTAGATTTTATGCTATAAATTTCCACATGACAAGCCACTTTGTTGAGCGATCATTTGTGGTCGCGTAGCTTCGGATGATAAGCTAATAGCTATGTAGGCTTTACCGAGATTCCTCCCAGTACAAAATATACATTCTGATTTTCTAATCGATACAAATCGTTAACACAAATGGCGGCCATGGTTCCTGCCTACCCAACCACCCATCTCGTCTGTGGGGCAGAGCGCTGCCAGGTGACGGGAGATGCTCACTACAGCACATTCGACGGCACGGCGCTGGACGTGGACGGCACCTGCAGCTACACGCTCTTGACCGTCGCGCGGAGGCCGGACTTGTTGGTGTACGCGCGGCACGAGCGCAGTGCCCTGCCACCCCACGCCACCGTCGCGGTCGGGGTCTACATCCGCGTCCAGTCGACCACCATCGCGCTGGAGAGGGGATTCAACGTTTACGTACGGACACGCCCGCGCGGTGCCGGGCCGGGATGATGGGCGAACAAAGAGCTTTGAGGGTGGGCGTGGGCAGGCGTAGAATAGTGGTGCATTGGGATATCGGCTTTTTTTTTTTGTCGGCTATCGTATAGCTGTCGCGTGAACAAACGTGCCAATTGTATTACTACTTTGTGGCACTACCAACATGGTGGAGAGCAAGTCACTAATTTTTACAACGGTACGACATGTTGCGGTTAGTTGGTGAACATTTTCAGCCCGTTGCCAGATCTAATTTCTAATTTTAACAGACGAAGACAAAAGGGATGTTTTCTCCATAGGCCAATCCGTTCCAAGGACGAGGCATACTTTATCAAAGCCTATTTGTTCGTGCCACCAGGTGCGCTGTTAACTCCCTCGCTTAGTATGCAGGAGCACGTGGGTTCTATCCCGACTGATGCCTGCTATGTATATACATATTCTGGAGTTTGTGCGTCTCTCCCTGTGGTTGTGACGGTTTTCCACTCCACATTTTAAACTCGACACGCGTTTTTAAGAGTTCGGCTGCCATTTTTAAATATCCACGTACTAGGCCCACCTTCGTTGAGCTATAATTTCTGATGGCCAGGTTGCGTCTGAAACTGTCCTACATAGCTCATTGGGTGGTCCGTGGTAAAGGTTTTTTTTATAAATCGCACGTCTGTGGCGTAGTGGTTAGTGCACTGCACGACCACCTCGGCAACCCGCGTTCGATTTCCACTCGCGGCCAACACCGGTGAAGATTGTATAAACCAGTCACGGGCTGCCTCTCGGTACTCCTGAGTGTCTGGTGTGTAAAATATTGGCACTTCGGAGACGAAGGCGGTCGGGTGTGGTGCTAGCCACCCACCCCTTTGTGTGCCGTGCCGGCCTTGAAAGGTGCTCACTAACAGCACTTAACCCCAGCAATCTGTTAAGCCTGTACGGAGCTGTCCGTTTTTTGGTGTGCGGGGTGACCGCAGCTGAACGGAGTGCGCCAGAACCTGCCACTCTTCAGGATGCCCTTCACCGCGTTTGAGAACGCGCGCGACATCGTCGTGCTCGGCCACGACCTCGACTTGCTGGTGCGCTACGACGGCTGGGCATCCTTCTCCATCGAGGTGGGGCCGGACCTGGCCGGCGCCACCGCGGGGCTGTGCGGCAACAACGACGGGCGGCCGGACAACGTCACGAACGCCGTGGGCTCGTCGTCGCCGTGGCTCATCCGCCCCGTCGACTCTGACGCGCAAGTTTTTTTTTTTTGCTTTGCCTGTTTGTCTTGCCATGCGGTGCTCCCAAGTCGGTTGAGCGGTGATTCTAATAGCCCAGCGGTAGTCGAATCCCAATATAAATTTATTTGCTTAAACGCGCATCTCCTTTGTCGCAAATTTTCCTCGCTCAAAGCGCCATTGCATTTTTAATACTCGTTGAACATAAAAATGGCCGTAGTGCATTCACGTGATTTTGGGTGCTACGGAAGTTCGCTTCAAATCTAGCAGCCGCGGTGTGTGTAATGACAGCCGTAAACTACTACCGCGTGCCATCTGCTTCGGTGGATGTTAAAGAATCCGGCGACGGCATTTGCAAAGAGGCCATCGTGTGGGGGGGGTGGGAAGGGGTTAATTTGCGACGAGTGCTTTGTGTGCGTGGTAAACGAGTGAACTAACGCCCCTGCCGCTTGCCCATTCGCCTCCCGCGGGCCCCGTTCCTCGCGCCGTGCAGCTGCGTCCCTTTGGTCCGTCGGCCACCTCCTCTGCCACCGCGGCTGTTGGCGGCGGCGCAGGCGGCGTGCGCGGTGCTGAGCGACGCCACGGGGCCCTTCGCGGTGTGCCACGGCGCCGTGCCGCCCGCCTGGTGGGCCGGCGTCTGCGTGGCAGACCTGGCGGCGGCTTTGTCGGCGCCGACGCGCGGTGACGGGCGGGAGGCGCGGTGCCGCGTGATGCACGCGTACCACACGCGCTGCCGGCTGCGGCGCGTCTTCATCGGGGAGTGGAGGACCGTGGCGGGCTGCGGTGAGGCCACTGCCACCCGTGGGTTTTGTTGTTGCATTTAGCGTGGCAGGAGACTTATTTTTGGTCGTTTACCCCGGGACAAGCTGCACCTGAGGTTCATAGGACGTTAATTCTGGAGGGTCTTGCTGCTGCATTGGGTTTTTCAGATGCTTTCAGCCAATTAACCCTTTGCCGTTCTGATGACGTACGCGATTAGTCTTTGTTCCCACCCTGCAAGGTGCAGGGTGGGTCCTTGAATGGAGGAAGACTCCAGCTATATCTGGTGGGGTGGTCCCTACTTATTGCAAGCAGGCCGCACTAGTGGTGATTGGCACCTTGTTTCCCTATTACAGGTGGACCCCACCACCCTCCATAGTGTTCTGCCTTGACACCTTAGTGGTGCCATATGACAGGCCCTTATACTAGTAAAATAAAAATGGTTTAATGCTTTAAACTGTGGACGATGTTGATGATTTAAGGTGGTGCTGCGCATTGTCGCCCAATCCAGACGAGGCCTGCCCAGCGAACAGCCGCCTCGAGACGTGCACGTCTGTGTGCCCGCCGTCGTGCGCGATGACCACCTCCGACTGCGAGTGGCCGTGCGTGTCGGGCTGCCAGTGCAAGCGCGGCTTCTTCCGCCAGGGCGGCACCTGCGTGCCCCCGGAGGGCTGCGGCTGTTTCGACGGCAGCTCCTACTACGCGGTGCGTCCCCAGCGTCGGTTGGTGTGGGTGGGCACGACTGCCCTTCTTGGGCACACCCTACCCATGGGAAGGTATGGGTAGTCGAGAGAAATTGGCATTCAGTATTTTTTTCGGTAAAGAATGATGGGATGGACATTGCCGAGGTGATGACTCGCTCCGAGAAGACCCACTAAGGACTAATATTGACATGGCTTAATGGTCCCGTTTTTGCCACTTGTGGGGATTTGTGGTTCAAATTCGGTCACCACCCTGGTTAATACTCTGGGCGCATTAACCAGAACATTGCGTGCAGGAGATCTTTAAAGAGTAGGCCACATTGGGTGGGTACCAGTGTCCACGCTTTCAAATTTGGAAGATGACCTGAAAATGTATTACATTGGAATTACACATGGCAGGCAATTATTGGTTGCCCCCTAATTCCTATTTGCAGGCCAGTTGCGCAGAGTCTCGCTGTGCCGCTCAAGGACGGCTGCCACGTGGTAGGAGGGGGGAGGGCCTGCTAATTGTTTGCTGGTGAAACGTGTGGTTCTTATCGTGCGCAAGGGGACTCGAGTTGCCTCCCCGAACGCGAATCGCTGCCATTTTTTTACGGTGACGCGGAGCCCTGGCTCGCCCGTGCGTCCCTCCGCCCAGGTGGGGCGTCGGTTCAGGGAGTCGGACTGCTCCACGCTCTACACCTGCCATGGAAACCGCTCGCTGACCCAGCGCCGTGACCCCTGCGAGCCTGGCTACAAGTGCCAGCTGCAGGACGGCGACTACGGCTGTGTGGCGGGTGGGTGGGGTCGCTTCCTTCGTCGTGGCTTCTCGCTGGAAGTGCAGCAGGTGGAGGGGGGGGGGTTGCTCGTGAATTTCTTAAAATTCGTGCCACTGCTGGCGTGAAATAAGGTCGGGTGGAGGGGGGGAGGGAGGGATGGTACTTCAGAAACTTGCAGCAGTTAATACAAACTGGGCATGCTAGGAGATCTAATGGATCGGCGGACCTCCTAGATTACAAGTACCAGTCGACAGAGCGGGATGTAGTAATGAATGATGACGAGCCATAATCCACTTCTGGGTGAAGGCTACCGCTATTTCCCACCACCCCCCCCCCCCATGCCGTACTAAAATTTCGGAGTGAAAATGGATGTCGCCATATTTCACTGTAATAGTCTGTAAATTGAAGCTTCTGTTCAATCTCCACTTATTGGAGTACCAAAGATAAGCAAGTTCAGCTTTCTTGTTTTCATGCCCCGTTCGTTACCTTTTTAGTGTTTAGCAACCCATGGATTCTACAGCCTTGACATATTTTATATTTGCACCACCCGGAGAGGGCGGTAGCATGGTGGTTTCGCACTACCCTCCTGAACGTTGCCCCACCCCCGTTGAAGGCTAGGGCTTTAACGACTGCATCAGTGGAGACTGTCTGCTCCGGCACTCGGTGGCTGGTGTGAAGGACACGTACATGATGTGCGAAATGGATATGTTGACTTTACATTTCCCCACTTGAAATATTAATCATAATAAGCTGATACAAATTGTGATCTTGATGCTCCCCTGGTGGCGTCGGGCCTGTCATAGCTGAGTGGTACATTGGGTGAGTGCCGACCCTGGTGAGTGAGAGGTCTGGTATCCTGAGTGGGTGAGGGTTGGGGTGAGGTAGGCTACTCTGCGGTGAGTGTGTGGTGGCGATGATTCCTCTTTGCAGTGACGATAAAACCGTGGCACAGTGACGCAAGAGGCCGAATTTTTGTTTATTATAATTTTGCTTGTTCTCCCAGTTACATACAAATTTTTGCTGTCCATTTTTGATAAGCAGAAATGTCCCATCCACAACTCTGTTCTGACAACTGAAATGCAAATGCGCACTCCTGAGACATTCTTGCAACTTTTTTTTTATTGGGTCTTGCAACCCTGTATCATTTTAAATGCTCCTCCTACATGATCAATTAGAATTTGTTCTGTAGAGGTACTGAGACCAACTTGCCACGCTTGAAATTGTATTTTAGTTGTGGGAGCGGCCTAAGCACAGATTTCAAACTTTGAATCTCCTGGCATGGCATTAGACCAATTGAGCGATGCCATCTTGTTTGCCATTTTTTTACTCCATCACGCCACCGTGTGCTGATTGCTCCCCCACCCAGCTGATGAGATGACCGTGGGGTGCTTTAACGAGCGGATGATGGTGGCCATCTCGAAGCGCCTGGTCCTGGGCCAGAACGTCTCTTCCCTCTCGCTCATCTCCTCTGGTCCAGGCTGCGAGCTCCGTGACACGGGGCCGATCATCTCCTTCAACATCTCCCTGCGCGAGTGTGGCACCATCTTCAAGGTGCGCCGCCTCATCTTCCCAAAGAACCCCCCCCCCCCCCTCCCCATTGATTTTTTTTTGTGGCTCGTTGCAGGCACCGCGGTGGCAGGATGTTTACAACCTTGCCTGGTATGCAGGAGGTCGTCGGTTCAATCCTAACATTGAACGCCTGTATAGTTGGAGTTTGTTTTCGTGCCCCCCCCCCCCCAACGCGTTTTAGAGAATTTGATTACTATATATTTCCACGTGATCGGCCGCTTGGTCGAGCTATCATTTGTGGCCATGTCTCCTCTGAAAACGAGCTAATAGTAGGCCTGAGGGCTAATGAAAGCCACCACAGGTCGACGGGCATGCCGGCGGTGTAGCGGTCATCTCAGTAGGCCTGCACACCATGGTAATTTTGTACACGCAGTCTGAGACTTATGGTGCTGGGCTGATCGTGCCGTTGCACACGGCCGCGTGGCCATCAGCAGGCCACGCCACGGACCCTTGGAGGCCACGGCCCAACATTTCATCAACGTGCGTTTTCGAATATTTGGCTGCTATAAATTTTCGCACTACTTGGCTGAGCGATCATTTGTGGCCAGGTCACTTCTGAAAAAGCACTACATAGCTCGGTGGGCCTTACCTGGTAAAGTAAAAATGTGTTTTGTTTAGCAATAGTTTATTTTTAACACTTAACCAGCAAGGCCCTCTGCATTGGTTCAATCTCTAATGCAGGGGGCTCCAAACTCATTGTCCATTATGTTATGTTATGATTTCTTGCACCATACATAACCAGTCGTGCTTATCGGAGGTGCGATTGATGTGTTGCATATTCCGCGCAGTTAATGCTGGGGTCTTCGGCTATTGGTTTGACCTGAAGTCAAAAGCGACTTCAATTTTCCTTGGCATCGTCTGCTCCCGTGCTGCGTAGAACTGCACGGTGGGTAAGCAAGGCAACTGGGAATCACGTTCCGAGCACCTAGGATAAGGGAGGGGGAGGGTGTTTAATCTCTCCGCAGGAAACGAAGGACTACTTTGTGTTCAAGCAAACGGTGACGTTGAAAAACATCTCTGCGAACATCATCACCTACGAGTGGCTGATCGTCATCATCACTGCTGTGTGAGTGCTTGTGTCCCTGACGACGGAATGTCCTCTCGACTGCCTCCCCTGGCCACGGTGGGTCACACCGCCGACTTTGCCATGTGAACGAGAGACCTGTAGGAGGCAGTGGCGTACAGCAAGTGGGCTGTGGGGTAGTCGCCGATGAGTGGTTCTGAAGAAATGTTTTTATATTTGTATGTGCTGGTGTTCACTTTCAACCCCAGGCCCTTGCCCCATCTTGAAATGAAGATTTGTTTTCTATTTGAAACAAATAAAGAAATATATTTATTCTGGCTTGAACATGTTGAGGGCTGCCTGTAACAAAACTCTCTTGCCGACTTCTTTGTGTTCATACATTCTCATGGCGACTCGATGACTATCAAAATTTCCAATTTTTTTCCCAAGTTTTGTTGCACCTCCCCAATTTGTAGCATGGTTGGCTACAGTGCAGAGAAGTTCTACATACACATGCATTACTACCAATGTTTCAAGAAAAATATATAATTCCCTAACGAGACTTGGTTTGAATGTCTGTTATTCCTCTTACCCCCCCCTCACCCTGGGAGTCTACCTTAAACCGCTTTTCTATCTCCATGGCCCTACCCTGGGGCATGTGGCAATTAAATGGACGCAGATTAAAGATCGTCGTTTTCCAACTCCATCGTCTATTCAGACGCAGAGTGGATCTCGTCCGCTCCTGTTCAAGGAGTGGAGGCGGCGGAGTTTGCGATGCGGTCGATTTTGGTTTGGGATTCGTGGCCGCACTCGCAGGCCGCCGGCTCTTTGGTAGCATCCGGTAGTCGGCATTGGCCGCGTTGCCTGGTTCCTGATCTTCGGTTGCGGGAGGGGGGGGGGGAGATCCCCCCCCCCCCCCCCCCCCCCCCCTAATGAGAGGCTTATTTTTCACCTCGGCCATAGTCCAGACTCTCGCTTCTGTCTCTCGCCTTCAACTGTCTTCGTGGCGTGACGCTTCGGCTGCGAATCCAGACGGGAGGTGGTGTGATTGTGGGCAAACAGTCGTCGCTGGGTTTGTCCCAATTTTGTTATCGGAAGGTGCCGGTTGACAATTTTTTTTTTAGTACTTTCACTCAAGCGAGTAAAAGGAACGGTGCCTTTGTTAATCTTTTTAGAGCCAGTGATGGGGAAAATCTCTCCTTCCTGTTTCGCATGACATTTGACCTCTACGAGGATAAGTTGCATCTCTCCAGGCTCAACCTTCCGCTTGAGGTCATGTTTAACCACGAAGCCACCCAGCCAGATTGCGTGCGTATTGTACAGCAAGTACTCGCTTAACGCGCTTTTTTCCAGCGCGTTTGCCATAATGCTGTTTTTGAACCGTCGGACAAATTACTTTGGGCTGTGGCCGAGCCGTATGATGCTGTACGTGGCACACCCTCATCTCGGTTCTTTTGTCCTGCCGTGGGGATGACAGCGTGCTGATTTTTAAAGTGCACATGTGATTCTGGTACGGTTATTTTCCCTCCAACGTGGAACTTTGAGTATACGACTCCTTATTTTCTCATGTCTTTCACTTAAACCTTATTTTGTCTTTGCATTTTATTTTAGTGTGCAATGTTTTGATACCCCCTTCAGTAGAAGTGATATTATTTTTTTTTTAAATACGGCTTACACGGTACTGTGTTTTTAAACTATTGGCTTGCCCTAACGCCGATGCTTTTACCATTTTCACTGTCTGTTCCGATCCTTTAAGATGCAAAATCCCAAGGACAAAGCTCCTGAGCGAAGACCCGTTCCGTGTCAACACGACCAGCGTAGCGCTGAGCCAAGTGGCGTACAGCGACCTGCACCTCCGGATGGATCTGTTCCAGACGCCGGACTTCGCGAGGCGCTACGAGCCGCTCGAGTACCCCATCGCCGTGCGGCCCCGACAGCCCCTCTACCTGCAGGTGTCGATCCGCACCGGCCTGGAGCTCGCCGCCTTCACGGTGGACTGCTTCGCCACGCCGGGCAGCAGCCCCCAGGGACCCTACAAGGCCTACCTCGTCCGCGATGGGTGAGGTGGGGGGGAGGGGATCTCTGACAGAGCTGCTGCTGGGTGAGATGAGACCAACCCGTGTTTCTGTTTTTTTTTTTCGTAGGCCCTAGAAACAGATTTACTGCCAAGTTGGTGATCCTTGTAGTGATCCTGAATGGACGATTTGGTTCACTTTTACTCCCACCCCCGATCCTTCCATTACCAACTGGTGCTCGGCAAACAATGCTCGCTTGAGAAAGAGAACCTGCTGGCCTGAGGTGGGAGTTTGGCACCGAAGCTGATCCTCGGCCTGCTGCCCGCATCTCCCTCACACCCCCCCCCCTCCCCCACAGTTGCCTCCAGATGGATACCGTCAACCTGACGCTGAGCGACATCGTCCGGCGGTTCTCCTTCAAGGCGTTTGGATTCGCCGGCTCTAAAACGGTGAGTGCCATTGTGACCTTGCAGGGAAGAGCGACGGTTACTGGAACCTTCTTTTCAGCTGGCAAGGCCCACAGTTTGAACTAAACGGGAGTCGTATGTCCATTGAATTTCATACGCACGCTGTATGTAGCTTGATTAATCGGAGGCACGGAACGGATGGCCACAGCCCTGTGGAGACCTGTCAACGGAGACTTCCACGTCATGCAGGTGCCAAAGCACGTGCTTGGCAACTATGTAAACAATAAAATCGCCTCCAGTCTGCTGTGAAGACCTCGGGGCCCATTGACTTCTCCACCTGTTTCTCCCCCTGCCCTCGCCCAGCTGTACGTCCACTGCTCGACCATCGTGTGCGGGAAGACCAAGGCGGCGTCGCGGTGCCGGCAGGGCTGCCTGTCGCAGAGGAGGCGGAAAGAGGCGGCGAATGCGGTCGAGGGTGACGAGGAGACGACGGTGTTCGTCCTGACACGGGGGCCCTTCGTATGGGAGGGGGACGACGACAAAGTGGTGGCGGAGACTGAGGGCACCGACAGTACGTGTCACACCCCCCCCCCCCCCCCCCCCCCACAGCTACCATGTGGTTGTCGTTGGTGGACGAGCACCACACACCACCCCACCGAAAGAATCTAGAAATACCACTGTCCATCCAAAATGCTGTTGCCATATCTGTGTCCTCGTTCATGGTGCCGTAAAACACCTGCTTCATGCTGATGCCGGAATCTATTAAATGGCACCGTGCACGGGGGTAGTCGGCTATGTACATAGTCGCTAGCCAGTACGCATGTTGAACCTCTTCTTTTTGCACCATACGTAGCCAACCGTGCTCGTCGGAAGTGCAGGTAATGGTGTTGATGTAATTGGCAGTTCAGTTGAACTCCCATCTGGTGCAAAAATGCCGGAATATTATTTGCAGTCCGTGCTCCCCTCCCCATGTAACGACCGGGGGAATCGTTTGCGAAATGGAACGCCTGCAACTTGCACACGAGGGTAAGGCGCTTGGCCTTGCTCCCCCAGTGATGTGTTTGACCGATTTCACTTCATTTGCAGCCCAAGGAACTTTTGCAGCCGTCGCTGGGATCTTCGTGGCCCTGCTTCTGTTCCTCGTCCTCCTCGGCGGAGTCCTGTGCATCGTCGAGGCCCTCTGCAGCATGGACGCTGGACCGCCTGGCGGGTTGGGGGATTTAAAAGTGGTGCAAGACGGCAAAAAATCTTGTGCGAAACATTAAAACGAGAACCAATAAAGGAATCCGCAAAAGAGCCCTCCCGTGGTCATTAATGTGTGGATGCGGCACTCTCTATGGAATCATGGCCTTGGGTCCAGGGCGACCTTGAGGGGCCCCAAGGTCATACCGGTGGGGCGGTTACTCTGCAAAGGTTGTAGCTTGGCCAATCCTCGCGACTTGGAGTGTGGAGGAGCCCTGCCATTGTAATGCGGTCGCAACTAAAACGCAGCAGCCAAAGCTGTCCTCTTCCTGCGTTGTGTTTTTTAGAAATCTTAAAGATGCGCAGTGCTAGATGGGTGATCGTTTCCCATCGGTGCTGCGTCGTGTGCATTTTCGTAAATCGACACGTGTCCACGTGATATTTTATATATTTATATTTTTCCATTTTTAAGTGGGCCTTTAAGTGCTGCTATGGTTTATGCAGGCACTGAATGCCCATGAGGGTTCTTGATAACTCCCCGTGCTGCCCTCTCTCTATCTCCTTCCCGTGTCTCTTGCCGATCCCATCACGCTCTGTTCATTACAACTTCCCAGTCCCTAGAAATCCAAAGCCTGGGTGGAGGGGAGCGGGCGGGGCAGTCTTGCTGTTTTGTCCTGTTTTTTCAATTTGAACAATTCGCTAAAATAGTTGGTGGGGGATTGGAAATGCTTGCCCCTTTTTAATCTTGTGACCCTTTTCCTACGTGCGTTTGTCCTCGAAGTGATTCGTTGGCGATCACGGAAGCTGTCGGGAGGAGGGGTAGGGAGGAAATGTGTTCTGAATGTTTTAAGTCTCTTGCTTGCTCCATCTCCCGAGTTTTCAGGAGTAGACTCGTCAAATTGGCTAGCTTTTAGATGGTTGCAAGTCCGCTAACGGCAACACCACTACTGCAGGTTGCTTCTTATTTAGGGGGCATCCTTCCTGTATCCCATTTTCGGGTAGATGCGCTGAGGTGCTGTCGTTTCAAACTTTTAACCTTCGTGAAAATAAATGAAACTCTCGATGCTGGAGGTTACCGGACGCCGGCAACGGTCTCAAAGTCGCTTGAATTCAAGCCCTGCATCAACCTTTAAGTCCTGGTGTTTTTCCATTTTGGTCCATTTTTTATTTTAAATCTAAAGCGAGTTCAGTTTAAATCGGCCATCCCAATGTTTTTGTTTAAATCGGCAACGCGTTTTTTTGGTACGAGGGAAGGGTGTTGGCGTTTTGAATGCGGGAGAAGGGAGCCCAAATCCTCGTCCGATCGATAATTCGTTCACGCCGAGATGTGTAGCTCGGCAAAGCAAATATCGGAGTCTTCCCCCCCCCCCCCCCCGTGGGTGAAGTTCATCCCCCCCCCCCCCGTGGGTGAAGTTTTAATACGAGAGAAGACGTCGGCCCCTCGTCTCTAGGTCCTGCGGAGGGACGTGGGAGGCGAGTGCCTTTGGGCTTAAATTCGACCCTTCATGGGATGAAATTGGTAAGATCTAAACTACTTGACTAATAGACAACATTTAAGGAATGTTATTTCAGTATTGTGAGAATACAGGGTGGAAAAATATACGGTACAATGTAGGATGATCATGGGTAGACGAAGTTTCCAACAACCCCAAACTCCTAACCCAGCCGACCAGCATTTGGGAGGTGGGGACATGGTGAGTAACGAAGCCGTGCCTAGGAGTGAATCGTTGCACAATTCCACTCTCCCAGACATAACCCACCACGCCCCTCTACATGACAAAATCGATCCATAATACAGGTTTTTTTGGGGTTGATCACGTATAAATGTATCGTTAAACCAGCCACTACCCGACACGGCCAAATAGTCATGTTTGTCACGTAAACGGAACATGCCAGTTCGTCACTAGTACAGCACACCGGTGTGTTAGAGCCAAGCCACGACATTTACAATTCGAGTACGCCGTTTCGCTAGTAATTGCAACTAGCTTCATCAGGCGACAGCCAGATGTGGGCAAGTCCGGCCTGATTCATTCCTTAGAGGTGTAGATGTGATGACGTCACTGCGCTATTACGCGAAGTGGGGGGTTAATAAATGCGTTTAAATGACTGGGTATCCAGAATGTTATTTATCACGAAAAGCTTACGCGTTTAAAAATAACAAAAATCCACTGCCAACGGCATTGCGCGCCGTGTGGGGGTGCCTGGCGTTTGTGGGACGTTCTCGTGATCCGCGGGGTGCCACACGTGGTTATGGGAGGCGACGTCCATGGCGAGCCACGCCGGCTCTCGGGCTGTCTGCTCCAATGTCTGTGGAGTGGCTCATTGAGATGAATTGCTCATTAAACATTCACGGATGTGGGGGGGGGGGAGGCGTGCAGGTCCGCGTGTCTGTTTTGCGATCGCGTGTTTTTGTACTCCCCACCCCCGACAGAATTTGTTAAAGGTAACCTTGCATAACAGGCCTGTCCCAGTCGGATTGGGTTAATGGGTCCGTTGGCCAGGATTGATCCACTGCTGGATGAAGGTCCCCCACCCAAACCCGTGATATCTCGTGGCGCTCTGACGAAGCGATGCACTCGGCACTTCCATTGGGAACCAACGCGAAGTACAGAGCAGTAAGACTCGTTTGGTTTAGTATGCATGTTGAGCTTCTTTCGCACCGTGCGTAGCCTACCGTTATCGAAGGTTGGTGACATCGGAAGCGTGGTTTCTAATATGTACCAACCTTCCTGTCCGCTCGGTTGCTGGAGGAGCCCTCTCGCCGCAAGTTGCGGGGGTTATTGACCGTGCTTCACGACCTTTGGTTTAGCGTGGGTTTGCGAAGGCAGGGGAGCATTGGCTTGGAAGCGTCGAAGTCCAAAACGATGGATTTTGCTTCACTGCCCACCTCGTAGCCCGATGGCAGCCCGCTGTGTGCATCGTTGGTCACCCGTCCAAGCTCTCGAGACCAACCTTACAGCGTCAAGCCCTGTCACAACTCCCCGGGTATACTCCACGCGATTCGGTCACTTGCTAAAGAACGAGGGGGTGGGGGGTTCTCCCACAAGTGGAATTGCAGAGGAAGAGAGACCAAGGGGTTGAGTCGAGAACGAGATGGAGTGGGATGTTTAGGGAAGGAGGTGAGGGCTGGTGAGAGGTGGATGATGAGATGGGAAGGACGAGAGCGCGTAGAGAAATGTACGAAAACTTGACACTGGGGCGATGATTCATGGTGGTGGTATGTTCTTTAAACTTTCTTTTAAACCAGGTAAGTCCCTCCTGAGATTCTACATAGCGCTTGGCTATCACAAAACATAGCGCAACGAAGTGGCTTGTGGAAATTTATATTAGCCAAATACTCAAAGCATGTTTCTCAATTTAGAGGGGGAAACCGGAGGACTGAGAAAAATCCACGCGACCACGGGGAGCGGGACATGCAAACTCTAAATGCGCAGTCGTCAGTGCTGGAATCGAACCCACAACCACCTGCATACCAGGCGAGGTAGCAGACGTCTCGCCAAATATAATAACGGAGTGGCAGCCAAGGAACGGAACGAGTCTGAGCGCGACTACTGTGGAGACGGAGCGACGATACAATCGACTCGTGTGTAGAGCAAATTCTGGGTGAATTATTACATCGCAGGATGGCGAAAGATGACCGGCGGCTGGGAAGAAGCCTTCGTCGAGCAGTGGATCGAGCAAGTCTGAAATCATGACGGCGATAATCCAGTTATTAAGTCTCCGATGTTGTTTCTCGCTCCCGAATCCCACAGTCGGAATAATTCAGACTTGGAGGACCGGGCGGCCGAGTGTGGCACGGCAGATAGTTTAATGCCTCGCCGATGGCCTCCACCTAATCCGGCCGTGGCCGCGCGGGGCTCGGCGTGGATTAAATAAAAACACTGAATAATTAATGCGCAATATTTTCAGGGGGCTCGTGAATTATGCAAGGAGTTGGAGAGGGGGGGGGTGGTGCATGCGCGCGGTGCAATGCAGGCCGGGTGGGCGGGTGGACACGACGGAGCGTGGTGGGTGAGTGTGGGGGGGGGGGGGGGGTGAGCGTGGTGGGGGGGTGAGCGTGGTGGGGGGGTGAGCGTGGTGGGGGGGGTGAGCGTGGTGGGGGGGGAGAGCGTGGGGGGGTGGTGATCGTCGCTCCTGTCTCATCGCATCGAGCAAAGTGGCACCGACTCCTGTGAGAAAGTCGAACATGAAGCCGTTCGTCCGTGACGCTTACCTGCCCGCACGGAGGCAGCTGCTGCTGCTGCTGCCGTGTGCCACGTGGGTACTGGTCCTCATCGGCCATCGAGGTACGCGGTCGTGCTTGGTGGGAGGGGGAATAAGACAGACGTGGAGATGCCGTGCAAAGACGAACAAAATATTTTTCGTGTAGCCTGTAACAGATTGTTGGGGCAAGTGCTGTTAGCGAGCAGCACCTGTGAAGGCCGGCACGGTACACGAGGGGGTGGGTGGCCAACAACACCACGCCCGGCGGCCTTTGTCTCCCCAGTGGTGATGTTTACACCCCGCACCAGGTACTCATTCGAGGCTGAGTCGACCTAAGGGAGGCCCCGGACCGGTTCAGATAATCATCGCCGGTGTTGAGTTGGAATCGAACTCTGGTCGCCGGGTTCGTAGCGCGCTAACCGCTACACCACCGCTCCCCACCGCGATACCGGGCACGCAAACCTCGCAAAGGACGCGGCAACGATGACATCGTTCTTGTTGGTGGGGGTTTCTCTCTGTTTCGTTAACGTGGCCCTGCGACTTCCCGCCGCTGGTACCCGCGTAGGGGAAGGGGGTTGGCAAAGCGACTTCCCCAGCCTCGTGCTCCCACTCCTTGTCGTTCTCCTCCGCTGGGTAGTGGCCTCCGAACTTTGGTTTCCAGATCGCTGCCGTTCTCGTCCGCCGCGTTCGACCGCCGCGCTGTTCATCTTGACCAACCTCCCCCCCCCCCCTCTCCGCTGGTCATCCTTGCCACCCACATTCGCCTTGCGTCTGGGGGACCAAAATATGGGGACCAAGATAGGGGCACCGGTGACGGCTTGGAGATGTTAACTCCCTCGCCTGGTATGCAGCAGGTTGCGGTTTCTATCCCGACCCCGACGCCTGCTGCTGCTGTACATTTCGAGTTTG